AGTTTCGGCTCTTGCATTATTAATTCTAATTTTCCTTTCTCTTCTGCTAATCCTTACATGGCATTTACAATTTAAATATTAATCCTTTGTTCATTTTTCTTCGTTCATTTTTTTTTTTTTTAAGGTCTGTGGCGTTTTAAGACCCAAATTCAAGTCTTTTTTTTTTTTTTTTTTTAATAAACCTTTATTGTTCAGTTATTACAATTGTTCCTCTTTTTTCCCCCCATAGCTTCCCTCCACCTGGTTCCCACCCCACCGTCTGCTCCCCCCCCATCCATAGGTGTATGATTTTTGTCCAGTCTCTTCCTGCACCACCCACACCCCTTTCCCCCTGAGAATTATCAGTCCACTCCCTTTCTATGCCCCTGATTCTATTATATTCACCAGTTTACTCTGTTCATCAGATTTTTTATTCACTTGAATTTTAGATATGTTGATAGATATGTATTTATTGTTCATAATTTTTATCTTTACCTTTTTCTTCTTCCTTTTCTTAAAGAATACCTTTCAGCATTTCATATAATACTGGTTTGGTGTTGATAAACTCCTTTAGCTTTTTCTTATCTGTGAATCTCCTTATCTGACCTTCAATTCTGAATGATAGCTTTGCTGGGTAGAGTAATCTTGGTTTTAGGTTCTTCCTATTCATCACTTTGAATATTTCTTGCCACTCCCATCTGGTCTGCATAGTTTCTGTTGAGAAATCAGCTGACAGTTGTATGGGTGCTCCCTTATAGGTAACTAACTGTTTTTCTCTTGCTGCTTTTTATATTCTCTTTGTCTTTTGCTCTTGGTTTTTTAATTATGATGTGTCTTGGTGTGGTCCTCTTTAGATTCCTTTTGTTTGGGGTTCTCTGTGCTTCCTGTACTTGTAAGTCTATTTCTTTCACCAGGTGGGGGAATTTTCTGTCATTATTTCTTTAAATAGGTTTTCAGTATCCTGCTCTCTCTTTTCTTCTAGCACCCCCATAATTCTAATGTTGGTACGTTTTACGTTGTCCCAGAGGCTCCTTATGCTATCTTCATATTTTTGGATTGTTTTTTCTTTTTGCTTCTTTGGTTGGGTGTTTTTTGCTTCTTTGTATTGCAAGTCTTTGACTTGATTCTTGCGATACTGTAGTCTACTGTTGTATCTCTGTATATTATACTTTTATTTCTGTCAGTGTATGCTTAATTCCTAGTTGGTATTTTTTCATATCCTTGAGGGTCTTGCTAAATTTATCAGCCTTTTCTAGAAGGTTCTTGAGACTATCGAGGCAGCGTTTTGTTAACAATAGGATGACATGACATCCCACCACCTTAATTAGAAGTAAGTCACAGGTTGTGCACAAAGGCCTGAACACCAAGAGATGGGGATTTTGGGGCCCCCACCTTAGAATCAGTTCTCCACACCCCCCAATGTTGTCTCTGAAGCAACTCCATGGAACATAGTTTGAAAGCATTGCCTTAGATAATATTCCTTATATATAATTTTTTTTTTTAAGCTTGGGCTTTGCGTCTCCTTTAATACTGATTATTCTGTTTTCTTGAGGGTGGGGGTAGGGGGAGAAAGTCTTATAATCAGTTTTAATGGCTATCATAAAAGGAAAAATGTCCCTTCAGGAAGATTATATCCCCAAACACAGTTTTTGGGACACTTGTCCTGGGAGAAAGGTTAGTCTTCCAATTCGGTTTGTGGAAGCCATATGTTATATAATCCCTACAAAGAAGTGTATTGTGAGTGTCTCTCCTATTTCTTCTTCTAGAACTGGAAAGCCCAGCAATACATTTTTGTAGTGCTACTGAAGGAAGGATATTTTATTTTATTTCTGCCCTTTGAAACTACACACAGTAAGAATATTAAGTAAAAAGTATTACAAAAGTAATGCTAGTAGGTTAGGATTATTTTCTATATGTTTTACATTGGCCTTATTTAATTCTTATAGTAATAGTAATTTTTACTCAACAAATGTTTACCTATTGTCTACCATATATGATAGGTTTTTTCGTGGTTGTTTTTTTGTTGTTGTTGTTGTTAGATATTTTCATTTTAGCTTCAAGTGGTTACATAGCTAGTTTCCCTTATTGACATAGGAAAGAGCTACATTTTCTTTTTTGGTAGGTTGCAGATATAGGGGTAGAAGAGAGATTTTGAGCTGAATTTAAAAATATATATATATATTTTATTGATTTTACACAGAGAGGAATTGAGAGGGCAGAGAGTTAGAAACGTCTATGAGAGAGAAACATCGACCAGCTTCCTCTTGCACACACCCCCACTGGAGATGTGCCCGCAACCAAGGTACATGCCCTCGACCGGAATCGAACCCGGGACCTTTCAGTCCGCAGGCCAACGCTCTATCCACTGAGCCAAACCGGTCCCGGCTTGAGCTGAATTTTTACACCATCACATAAACCAGTCAAGAAATTTCACTTGCATTCTCCATTCTTTATTTAATTCAGTTCAGAGATTTATCAGTACTTTGTTGTGGAACAATACAGTTTTATTTTCAAAGGGCTATAGATTTTTCTGAAACACTGATACTCTAGGCCCGTGGTTGGCAAACTGCGGCTCCCAAGCCACATGCGGCTCTTTGGCCCCTTGAGTGTGGCTCTTCCACAAAATACCTCGGCCTGGGCAAGTCTATTTTGAACAAGTGTCGTTAGAACAAGTTTAAGTTTTAAAAAATTTGGCTCTCAAAAGAAATTTCAATAGTTGTACTGTTGATATTTGGCTCTGTTGTCTAATGAGTTACAATACCGCTTAGAACAGTGGTCGGCAAACTCATTAGACAACAGAGCCAAATATCAACAGTACAACTATTGAAATTTCTTTGGAGAGCCAATTTTTTCAAACTTAAACTTCTTCTAACGACACTTGTTCAAAATAGACTTGCCCAGGCCACACTCAAGGGGCCAAAGAGCCTCATGTGGCTCACGAGCTGCAGTTTGCTGACCACGGGCTTAACCAATAGATTTCCTATATGCCCATTGGAATAGCTTATGGGTATTGCAAACAGAATACCCACAATTTAACACTATGTTTAATAAATCCTAAGATGTATGTTTTTAGTTCAAAAATCTATGAATCTTATATACAGTAACGTCTTAGATTTTGTGAAGCAGAGTAATTCCTTTTTACTCCTTCCCTAATACAGTCTTCTTTCTCCAGTCTCCTCCCGCTCTTTAATGGGTTTTCCTTACATTCATTTGTTAATGCCAGAAACTTGGGTGCTATTCTTGACTCTCCAGTCATTCATTCCTAAACCTTAATTCTACCTCCAAAGTGCCTCTCAGTTTTCTCTTTTCTTATCAAATCTATTGCCAGCACCTTTAAAGCCCTAATCACTTGTCCCATGGATTATTACAAGTGCCTTTTTAAAAAAAATATATATTTTATTGATTTTTCACAGAGAGGAAGAGAGAGAGAGAGAGAGAGAGAGTTTCACAGAGTTAGAAACATCGATGAGAGAGAAACATCGATCAGCTGCCTCCAGCAACACCGCCCACCCCCCCTCACTGGGGACGTGCCCGCCACCAAGGTACATGCCCTTGACTGGAATCAAACCTGGGACCTTTCAGTCCACAGGCCGACGCTCTATCCACTGAGCCAAACCAGTTTCTGCTGCAAATGCCTTTTAACTCTTGGCATCATCCAATTCAATCTCTATTTAGTGCTTAGATTCATCTTCTAAAAACATAAATCAATTTATATCACCATTTTACTTAAAGTCCTTCAAGGAATGAAATGCACAGTCTGTCACGTGGCACAAAAAGGCCTCGCTAAGCTGGTCTGTGCTGCCTCCCCAGTCCCCTTAGCATTGTGTTTGCCCTCCTTCCTTTGGGGCCAGACACACTGGTGTCCCTGCAGTGGTTTTATAGGACCAGGCGGTCCCTGGAATGTCTTTCCTCCACTTTGCGTCTGCCTGTCTCCTCGCCTGTCCTGTAGGTCACGTATATCTCATCTTGAAACATCACTTCTCTAGAGGCGTTCACGGACCCCTACATTTAAATTGAATCTTACTATGCTCTCTCAGGGTTTTGTAATTTCCTGTGTGACTCTGGGGACTTATTTATTGTGTTTATCCCAACTCTGTTGTGTATCTCATCTTTTAACCTCATACCCTAGAGCTTGGCACAATGCAGAGCAAATGGAAGGGGATTAGTAAATATTTTTAAAGAAGTTGAAAGTATGAATAAACTTTACAAAGATCTATGTGCACATATAGTCTAAACATAAATCCTTTTTCAAATGTAAGGCAAAATATAAGCATGAGAAGTAGATACTCATTCTTAGTTATCAGTTACACAAATTATCTGACAATTTTTTTAAAAATTTTCTTTTTATGAGAATGTAATTTCTGAAAAAGTTGAAAAATTATTTCACAATAATAAGCATTTCATAATAAAAGTGAAGTTTCTTTTATTTTTACTAATAGAAATTGAGGGTATCTCTTTTGTCACTTTCATACACAACTATTCTTTTTGTAAACAATTCTTTTTTTCCTTTTTTTTTTTTATCCACCAAATATTTTTAGGAGGTTTTGGTATTAAAAATAACATTGTATTACACTCCAGGAACAACATTTAACTGCTTGGCTTTTTGTTATAGTGGTTATGGGCAAACCACTATTTAATGTCTAGAATGCTCTTTATGCTTTGGAGGGTAATTCATGTCTGTTTACCAGCACGAAAAAGATAGCACGCGTAACAGTCATAACCAATAGTCTTTTTCCTTTTTCAGAATAAGTATTTTTTTTCATTTCTTTATTATTAGCCTTTTCTCTTCTTTTAGGACTTTTGCTCTCTAGGGTCTGTCTAGAGATCACAAACTTGATGATCCTACATTCTGTAAGTTTGACTCCCTTGGGATCCTAGCTCTCTCTTGATGTGTGCAGTGAGTATGAGAGGCAGGGCTCTTGGCAGCAGAATACCACATGGTGTAAAATGTTGATAATGCCTTTGTCTGTCCTCTCCTCCGTCTCCTTCACTGCGTCCTCTTGTCTGTCCGGCTCTCCCAGGAGACATGGATTACAACTGGCTGGACCATACGTCTTGGCATAGCAGTGAGGCCTCCCCAATGTCTTTGGTGAGACATGTGGGGCCTTGCTATTGGATCTCTGTTCTCATTTCACGTTTCCTTTTTTTTTTTATTTACACTTCTGCATGTTTTCTTTTTTTGTATCTTTTTTTTTTTTTTTTTTTTTTTTTTTTTTAATCCCATGCCTATAGGGGACAGTCAAAAGGGAAAAAGAAAAACTAGTGAGCAGGCAGTTCTGTCGGACTCTAACACCAGGTCTGAGAGACAAAAGAAAATGCTGTGCTTTGGTGGCCACTCTTTGGAAGAGGATTTGGAATGGTCCGAGCCCCAGATTAAGGACTCTGGGGTAGACACCTGTAGTAACACAACCCTTAACGAGGAGCATAGCCATAGCGAGAAGGTACTGAGATCGTGGAGCCTGCCTTGTAACCTGCTCATTTGGTCTTCGTTTGCTCTCTGTCACTCATTCAAACGGAACATGACACAAGAACAGGGCGTCTCAGGGGTCGATGTAGCATTTCTCAAGGTGCAGAAAAGAAAAACAAAACCAAAACAAACAAATCAAACGATTTCTTGCTTGCTTTGCTGTTTTTGTTGTTGGACGGCATACCAAAAAAAAAAATAAATAAATAAATACAAATAAAAAAAAATAAGTAAATGAAATAAAAATTAGGAACAAAGGAATGTTTTGTCTATGGTCGCAGAGAGACTTTTGTAATGTCACCATCAACGACAAATACAAAGAATTTCTTGGATTGGCTTATCTGATTGCTGGCGTACATTTCCCTTGGGATGAAAAATTGTTAATAGTCTGAATCCCAGGCAAAAGGGAGCTAATTGGGTCTGTTTGCACAGAAAAAGTTGTTTTTCTTTTTTCCCTTTCACTGTCATTTTGCTCTTTTGTTTTCTTGTCATAGCATTTCAATGTGGCATGAATTAGTATCAGAGCCATTGCTGTCTGCTTTGGTATTTATTATTTTTGCTTTTAGTGTAGCAAGACTTTTTAAAAATCTTATTACCATGTAGATGTGACTGGCTAGAACTTGTCTTTTGCCTGCTAAATTTTGCATGAAGATGTGCATGTTACTTTAAGATAACTGTGAAACGTGATTACACAAATCATTGACTTTGTTATTTGACACATAATTTATAATAGAATGGAATGGTGTCATGATCTCTAAAAGGATTAGTTCTGCCCTGAGCAAGAGATAAACTCCTAATATTTTACAGGTTATATTTGGCAATGGATACCATGGAATTAGCCAATAAAATCAACTTACTAGATAATTCAAAGGCCTGAAGGAATCAACGCACCTCTGAAAAATGAGAAATGTAATCTGTGCCCACCTTTGAATGAGGCCTAATTCTCCCGGAATCAATTGGAAAGTTATTTGGGGCATGTGTGTTTCTTGTCAATTTAATCTAGAAACTTATTTCACGAAAGCCCCTCCTCAGAGGTTTGGCTTTTGTGTTTTATATCATTTGACCTTTTAACTTTCATTGCAATAAGGTCTCTAAAAGTTTTCCAAAAGTGTTGGAAGGTTAAAATTTCATTTTTAAATGAGTTTACTTTTACAGAATATCATTCTATCTTTCCTGCCCATGATTTTATTAATCTTCAGCATGTATGTTATTAAGTTAGGGTTTGAACATATTTTCAAGATATCTTTGATTTTGTAAAATTATGTAACTTCGGTATTGTGTCAAAAGACTGTAAGAATTTGACTTTGAAAAAACTTGCTATAATAAAATTCAGATGATTGGCATAATGTAAGTCTTTTTTGATCAATGTTTTTGATCAAATGTTTTGAATGCAAACTGGTTTGTGTAATCATAGTATGAAGGCAGTCTGGAATTTAGAGAGATTGTACAATAAGGGGTCGCTTGTCATAAAAGAGCGTTAATTTTCTTTGTCTTTTGATGCAATGTCAGCACCCTGTGACATGGCAGCCATCCAAAGATGGAGATCGCTTGATTGGTCGTATTTTATTAAATAAGCGCCTGAAAGATGGAAGTGTGCCTCGAGATTCAGGAGCGATGCTTGGCTTGAAGGTAGGCGATGAAATGTGTAAGGTTTTGACTCTGTGTTACTTTACAGGTTTATCAGAGAAGCAAATTCTTTCTACCTATACCAAATCAGTGGCTTGTCTTTCTATTTTTAAGAATTCATAAATATTTGTCTTCAATATCCATTTCTTATTTTTCAAGTTTTATTTAAGAAGTTTCCGTTATTCTACAATAATACTCGTATGTATAATTTTAGAAATTCTAAATACAGTGCAAAAACTTATTTTACCTGTACAGTTTGTCCTTTATATCTATATCTGTGTTTATATTCTTTCTATCTATCTATCTATCTATCTATCTATCTATCTATCTATCTAGGGAGAGATAGAAACATCAATGATGAGAGAGAATCCTTGATCAGCTGCCTCCTGCAATCCTCTACTGGGGACTGAGCCTGCAACCCAGGCATGTACCCTGTCTGGGGATCGAACCATGATCTCCTGGTTCATGGGTCAAAGCTCAACCACTGAGCCACACATACTGGCGCTCGCTGTCTCTCTCTCTCTCTCTCTCTCTCTCTCTCTCTCTCTCTCTCTCTGTCTCTCTCTCTCTCTCAAATCAATAAAAACATACATTTTTTAAAGTTTCAAATTGTCTATTTTTTACTTGAATATTCAATCATGCTCATTGGGAGAAAGTATCTCTTACTTCTTTTCTTTATGAAACAGGTTGTAGGAGGAAAGATGACTGAATCGGGTCGGCTCTGTGCATTTATTACCAAAGTGAAAAAAGGAAGCTTAGCTGATACTGTAGGACATCTTAGGCCAGGTAGGTTTTTATCTTTGAGTGTTCACATTCAAACTGTTAAAACTGAGTGGTTATGAAAAGTAATCCTCAAATAGAAGCGATTTGATTAGTAATAAAGTGCTCATTTAACTTAAATAAATTTATTCATTATAGGGAAGTAATATTATTTCTTGAACCACATTAGATAAAAGGCTTTGTTTGTTCGTTGGTATTTTGCTTATGGATATTCCTGTTCTGTATCCAGTATTCACCTATTTTGTTTCCCATAAGCTGTAACTTAAAAAAAAATTCCAACATAGTTTAGGAAAAAGCTTCATAGATAAATGTATATTTCCTAAAGTGTGTTACTCCTTGTCTCTTAATGGATAGGAGAGGTCCTTGACTACCTTGGAGAGGATTCAGTAAGACACTAAATGCTAAGCTTTTTACAAGAGAATTCAGACAAAGTGCTCAGCCAACTTAAAATGCAGACTCATGAAACCTATAAAGTGGTGACTAGTCTTGATAAATTTCTAGGATTAGAATTTTTTTTAAAATATATTTTATTGATTTTTCACAGAGAGGAAGGGAGAGAGATAAAGAACTAGAAACGTCGATGAGAGAGAAACATCGACCAGCTGCCTCTTGCACACCCCCTACCGGGGATGTGCCCGCAACCAAGGTACATGCCCTTGACCTGAATCGAACCTGGGACCTTTCAGTCCTCAGACTGACGCTCTACCGCTGAGCCAAACCGGTTTTGGCATAGGATTAGAATTTCTATAGGAATTAACATTTCTGTGTCACCAAGATGGTGACATAGTTCACTCCTGCCTCTGCTCCTCTTCCCAAGAAGATCTAACAAGTATTCACGCACAAGACATCACTGAGGAGATCCTGGAGATCTCAGAGATCATTGTTATGCAATTTTTCTTCCTGATCCTTGGCCTTTGGGGTGAAATATACCAGTCATCCCTGTCATCAAATTTTATGCCCTTGGAGGTGTTCTCAGTATGTTTCCTATTTCATAATGGCGGTTTTACTCTGTGGAGGTGATTGTAGGGTAAGATTGCTTTGTTTTGAGTATGTATAGGATTAGATTTTCTCTCTAAGATGTACGTTACTGATCCACACGACAGGTGATGAAGTGTTAGAATGGAATGGAAGGCTGTTGCAAGGAGCCACCTTTGAAGAAGTCTACAACATCATCCTGGAATCCAAACCAGAGCCACAGGTGGAGCTTGTCGTTTCGAGGCCTATTGGGTGAGTTGGGCTGAGTACTTTGCATATGGAAAGAGTTGACTACGGTAAACAAGTTATGAAGTGCAATCCAAAAAAACGTCTGATGGCTTTATCAGAATACATTCTTTTGAGGACATTTCTCTTACTAAAAACACCTCACCAAAAACCATGATATCTCTATCTGTAATGTTAATTACAAAAGAAGAAATGTTTATCTTGTTATTGTTTTTATTATTTTAGTAACTTAGTAGATGGTTGATGGCATCAGTAGAAGGGACTGTAGTAACAATTACTTTTAAAGGAAGTTTCATGGACTGTGGTCCTTCATACAGTGAAAATGAGGATCAGCTATATTCTATGATTTTTATTTTTTTCCAAAATGGAGACTTCAACAAAGAAAGGTGAAAAAATAAGCAAATGCCAGATACTCATTTGTTTTTATAGTTTGTTACCTATAGATTAAGTCGACAATTTCCAAAAGTTGGCAATATATATAGTCCTTTGCATCTAGGTTATGAGAATTACTCATTATCACAGTAGTCTTTCTTTTATAGAAGCTTATCTTCTAAGCCAGTGAAAAAGATACACTATACTTAGAAAAAGCAATTACATGTTATAAACTGAATAACAGGGAATTATTAAATTCATTTTCATGGTAAAAACCTTTTAGAGTAGAGGCTATAGAAATTATTTTGTGCTCTAGAATATAATGCCTAGTTTTCATTCATTTAGGAAAAGATTGGACTACATTATTTTGTTATCTTTTTATCCTGTATAAAATGACTTATATCGGTAACTTAGTTTTTGAAATGTTCCTTTCAAAAGTAATGAATGTGGCACATGAAATTTATCTGTTTTTCACTTTGTCTTTTCAAAGTTTTTTATTCTGTTAAAACTGTGCTGTATCAACCTAGTATATTAATCAAATGTATTTTTTCATATTAAAAGATACTCAACATTTTTGTTTAATATCTTAAATATTCTTTTATGTAATTTTCTGAATGATCTTAACCATTAATATCTACCCCTTTTGGAAAATCTCAAAAGAAAATGTACATTTTTTTGTGTGAAAATGCAGTTAAGTAGACATTTTGTAAGTCCCAATAAGGAACATGTTTACATTTTTCTAAATGGAGTTATTACATTTAAAAAGGTGCAATTAAATCTGAATAATTAAATTTTTGTTTTGGTGATACTTTATTTGCATTTTAATATTATCGACTTAGAACAACAAAATAAAGAATGGAATAGACTTACAATGTATCTATAAAACTTGTTGATTGCAAAAATCTTTTAGAATGAACAATTATTTGGTGAGGCATATAGACAATAAAGTATATGTTTTTATATAGCTGCTATAAATGAGTATGAATTTTAATATTTTAAAAAATGGTCTTAACTAAGAATATAGGTTGATAATGATGAAAACAGTAGTTGCATTAATTGTTGCAACAAGTTCTTGTTTTCCTTTTCTATCATTTCAGAGATATCCCTAGAATACCTGATAGCACACATGCACAACTGGAGTCCAGTAAGTTCCACGTGTTCTAGAAGAGAATGTTGTTAATGTCATTCTTCGGGAGAAAATGGAGTGTCCCGTTAGCCCCATTTCTACTCCCTCTCCGATCTGTCCCTTCCCCTCCATTCAAATCATTCGCGCATATCCCTCCAGAATGCTGAACTTCACATATTCTCCATGAAAAGCCTCTGATCACTCTGGAACATTATGGCTAGGAAAGTGGAATGACATTCTGTGGACGTTAAAAACGAAATTGAAGAGCTAGGTGGGGAAGATGATTAAACGCCAACGAAGAGCCATTGTTGTTATTCTTTATGTGTGATTGCCCTTACAGGCTCCAGCTCATTTGAATCTCAAAAAATGGATCGTCCTTCTATCTCCGTTACCTCTCCCATGAGTCCTGGCATGTTGCGAGATGTTCCGCAGTTTTTATCTGGACAACTTTCAGTATGTAATCACTAAGTTAATTTCTATTTTTGGCAGATGAAGTAGTGTTTTGATTATATGTTGCTAGTTTTTGGTAAAACAAAGTTCTTCTTAGACTATAATTGTGCCTTTAACCATCAACTTTCTCATTCTTAGTAATGAACTGAAATTCAATTTTTTAATTATTTACCATAGCTCTTGATTTATTAGTTAGGTTTCCTGTAATGTAATGAGCTTAAGAATTTGTGGAGGTATCTACAATGTGTTTTACTTTAGTAATATTATTCTAAAACTCAAGGTTATGATTTTTGCTCCATATCCTAAAATGATTATAAAGAGTCATGAACTTTTGAGGGAAATAAAAATTCTAAACTATACAAAGATGGTATGTTTAAGATAAAAGTAAATATTTCTGTACTTTTCCCTGCTTTTCAACCTTAAGGAAATTTTGAGTGGGGTAAGAATATTGCTCTGAAATATAATGATACTTGAGATGCTTTTGTCGACAGACAAAATTAAGTACATGAGTAAATATATAATTGACTACTGAATACACCAGATGATTTTATATTAAATGATCCCTAATTTGAACATTTTATAATGAAAGTTAAAAGTTCAATTATGTTTTATGTCTATATTAGAAGAGCTTTGCAAATGTAAGCCCTTACTTTTTTGTTAAATTCTTTAGTTTTATTTCCCTTTTTAAACCATTTTAAAATGTTAAAATATTAAAGTTTATCCATCCATATTTTAGGAAAAATAAAATTAGTATTGACAATAATCTTCCTCAGTTATTAAACTTGAAAATTTATGGATATTAAGAACTATTTAGATACTAAAATCCAGACACTGAGTTTTATGTAAAAATCAAACTATTCTTGGACTAATATTTTAAGAGCAAAAGGAAAAATCTTTACTAAATAAGCTATAAAACTTCTTTTATATTTTTAGGAGAAAGGGAGATGTTTGATTTTTACTAAATTTTCATTAATTTAAAGGAGATAATGGAAAGTACATGCACACTTAGTATTTTAAAGTTTATTGAACAAGTCATTAGACATGTCTTTTCTGGGGGTATTTTGATATAAAAGATGACAATTAAAAATAGTTATGCAAGGAAAAAACTGAGCTACTGTTAGGAGATTGTAAATGTCTTACTAAAGTAAATTTCTTCTCTATTCTTTTCCTTTCTCTTTCATAAACAGACTGAATTTTTCATTTGAGGACAATGGTCTTTTTTATTTTTCCACAATAAATAGAATCTTTCTCCTTATTCTCTTACATATATTGACAGCATCAATGTTGTTATTTATGGTCATATATATATATCTTTTTTTCCCACCATTTAGGAAGTGGTAATAAAAGCTGTTTTTCTTTTTTTTTTATGGCTGTATTTAAATAGTTCATCTTTAAGTAATGTTCCGGGTAGCTGGATAATGCCAGTATACAAATAAGTGTGTGTGTGTGTGTGTGTGTGTGTGTGTGTGTGTGTAATTGGCTTCAGTTGGTGAAGGAGGGAGGAGTGGAAATTATATTTCCATAAGTACCACTTTGTTACCTCATTTAAAAATCCCAAGGCCCTATTACAAATTGGACTAGGAAAGATTTAGACAAATTTCATATTCTTCAATTTTGCCTCATGGTTCAAAATGAATACAGTAAAAAGGTAACACTGTTAAATATTTAGGGGAAATATAAACAAAAATGTTTTACATATATTTATAATGTTATAAAGTTACAGTATTTAAATTTATAAATGATGCATGCCAGTTTCAAGTCCACGTAATTATAATCTACACTAATAAAAGAGTAGCGTGATAATTGACCATACCTTCGTGATGCCCACCAGCCAATCAGGAGTGAGTATGCAAATTAACCCACCACCCTAACCACTCCAAGCCTCTGTGCAGCATGGGAAGGCTGAAAGACAGCTCCGGCCAGAGCAAAGGCAGGAAGGCCCATTGCTGCAGGAATCTTCATGCATAGGACTTCTAGTTTTAAATGTGTACCATCTTACCACTTTCTTAGGAGTTAGAATGTGTATGTTCCAATAAGGTAATCTTTACAAATATAATATTTGTTGTTGTAATTCTAGAAAGTGTAGATAGATACATAAATAATAAAAATCACTTATAATCCTGCCACTAAAAGATGACTATTCGTATACATATAATTTTTTAAACAAATTCATGTATACTAGTTGGAAACCTTTTTCTTTTTACTAATATTGTACAGTTTTTCCTTAAACTTAAAAAAAAATCTGCTTAATATGATTTTAATACCTATTTATTACTCCATTTTTAACTTAATTTGTTATAATGGGATATTTTCGTTTCTCGTTTATGTTATAAATAACGATGCCATGGAAATTCTTTAATATAAATCTTGCATATTTTTGTTAGGACAAAATATTTGTTGGGATAACCTTCCAGAATTAAAATTGAAATATGAAAGGAAAAGAAAATTTTACGGCTCTTGAGATCTATTGCCCAAATTTCCCCCAAAAATATTTTGGCCAAATTACCTCCAATTATCTACTTAAAAAACAGATGTTAAGGTCTGATTCCAGTTCAGCCATAATACTACCGGTAGCAGCTGGGAATACAACCGTGAACAAGATAAACATGCATTTTATCCTCATGAGAGTTAACTTTCTACTTATTCTCTGCAGGCAGGAAAACATGAGCAATGTACCCTTTGGATGTACTCTTTCCCTTTCTATTTAATCCTGTTTCTGCCAACTGGAGGCAGTGTTGGTATGCTGGAATGATGTAGAGGTTGGAAAATGTGTGTCCACGTGTATCATCCTTTGGTAACACCCCTAGAAACTCACAGGGCAGCATCACAATTTCTGTATCCTTGCATTTTATCTTTGGGCATTCTTGCTTAGTGGTTGCCAGGAATTAGGACGATGGGAGTGGTTACGTAACAGGTGAATGATATCCTATGGGCCCGTGAAAAAGCTTTGAAAGTAGAGGGAGGGGATGGTTGCAAAGCACTGTGCTTGCACTAAGTGCCTTTGGATCACACACTTTAAAATGATTTGTCGAATTTGAATTTCAACTCACTTAAGAACACTAATAAATCAAAATACGTTTTCATAGCCAAGTCTAAAGTGTGAACTTACCGGTGAAGATTATTTAAATTGCCATAGAATTTAGACAGTTGATTTCAGAATTCCACGTGTTGCCCTTTTGAGATCATTCTAGAAGGGTGACAATGTTTGCCTTAAAGATTAGTTTACTTTAAAGTACTGTTTCGTTTAAAGTAATTTTTTAGTTTATGAAGTTATATTTACTTCCATCATTTTGATATTTTTGGTGTAAAACAGAGCAGGTGAGAGGGCAAGAAAAATAAAATCTACTAAATAAAGTATTTTGTTAGAACTTTTCTTTTTTCTTTTCCTAAATCCTCACCTGAGGATATTTTTACATTGATGTTTAGAGAGAGTGGAAGGAACAAGGAGAGACAGAGAGAGGGAAACATCGATGTGAGAGAGATACATCGATTGGTTGCCTCTGCAGGAATCAAGCATGCAGCTGAGGTATGTGCCCTTGACCAGAATTGAACCTGGGACCATTCAGTCCTCTGTCCAACACTCTATCCACTGAGCCAAACCAGGCCGGGCATTCGTTCTTTACTTTTGTGTACCTAGTTAATCTATATGCATTTCATACATCCCTTCCCCATTTGCTGGAGAATTATCCATCTAGAGTTGTGCAGACAAGGGTCAGTAACACACTCCATATCTAAACATTTCTTTCTTCCTTTGGATGTGTTTCCACACCAAAAGGAAGACAGCTTAGATTTGGGACTCCTTAGTTCTTGGAGAGAGAGAATGAGGATGACTCATGATTGAACGGTAGTCTACTTTCAAGGCCTTCTTTCCTTGTAGGTCTTAGATTTATGTCTCACAAAGTGTAAGTCTGATGATAGGTACATTGGGCAGTCCGCCTAGTCCCTATTAAGTCCTCCCATCTAGAAGAGGAATTAGATAAGAGAAACCCCCATGAGAGATGTAAGGAATGGAATGGAATTTTGGTGAAAAGCAAAATTAAATGCCTTGAAATCTATTTCCAAACCCAAAGATATGCATCTGATTTTGTTCCTGATTTAACTGTGGGCCTGCCTTAATAAAGGCTCACAGTTCTGATTGTTGTGGTGTTTTGGTTGAAACAAAATAAGTCAAAAGAGAATTGAAATTTGATTTCACTCAAAGACTAAGAAATAGAGTGATTTAATCAGAGGTAGGCTCTATCTTCTACCTTTATAGTATCTTACCTTTTGTTTGAGTATCTAGCCTTTTTCTTGATGTTCTGTTTCTCTTTCCTTATCTACAAATTGGAGATAGTACTGACAACCACCTAGTGTTATTGGAGGCAATAAACTTGCAATAAACTGCCAGTAAATGCTTAGAAAAATATAGAGAACTAAATAAATAAAAATAAATAAGATACATATTTTCATTAATAGGTATGATTATCTCAAGTGGTTCATAATAAATGTCTGAAAATGGTGTAAATTCTTAAAAGTTTGAATTACCTAATTCATCCAGTGCATTCCAGCATACTTTTATCTGACTGTGTTTATTCTTTTAACAATCAATGGTAAGACAACTTGACTACTGATTTTTAGACTTTTGTTAGACATATCATTTTAGCAAGTCACAATTCCTTATAAAAATGTCTTTTCACTAATAATTCTAAAATGCATTCTTATCTCATGTCATGTGGACTGTGATTTTTTTTCCTATATCGTGTGTGTAAGGGCGAAACCTGAAACTTCTTGCCTATTGGGTTCCGTTTATAATTATTCTTTCAGAGTTTATGACACTGAATATGTTATTTTACATTATATCCTAATTCCTGTTGTTTTTATTGCACTTAAAAAACTGATTTTAAAATTCTAAGATTTTATATATTTTGGCAAAATTAATTGACTCATTACATTGATGTACTTAATATAGATGTAGATTGCCGTGGGGAAATGATATTTGAAGGGTAGTCGTACGTGTTTGTTTTTACTTTGGTCTTTGAGTTCCAGCGTGTTGTCCTTTTGGTTTTGTTTTATTGCTTTTTTCTTTAATTTTGCTTACCAGAGCCAAAGCCTTAGTAGAAGAACAACGCCTTTTGTTCCTAGGGTTCAGGTAAAGGCCTTGTCTGCCTGATAGAAACTAAAGCTGTGTCTTACCCCTTTTCTGTATGTCTTTGGAAAATGCGTAGTAGGAAAACATGTTTTGGTATGTTGCTCCAAGTCATATGATTGACTTTCTAATCATTTTATGAGCCAGCTTGTAAAATTCTGCATGGGGATTAAAATACGATAAAAATTTAAAGAGACAATTTTTGTCAGTGATTTCATATGATGAACTGAATCCTAAAAGTCATAGGTTCAAAGTGACATTTAATGTAGATTCTACTTATATATGTAACACCGAAAGAAAAAGCTTATCTAACTGTTTATATTTGCCTTTTTTATGCAAGGTTGCTGTCTCTTTAAATCATTATGTCACTTGACATCTATATTTGTTTGCATTTTCCAAACGAGAACTCCTTGAGGAGATTGGCAAATATATTTGTACCTTATTGAAAATATGAATTTTATGCCCAATATATATAAGGTTCAACATTTGGAAAGTTTATTACTTTGAAAGAACAAAATCACAATCCCCAATTAAATGTGTTTGGTTTATTTTGGTTACACTTTGTAATTGTAATTTCATTTAATTTTTCTGTAGTAATTGGGTACAAGTTGTTTGCCTCTTTTCATTAGGAAACCCTTATACGGTAAAGTAATATCAATATAGTTTTTTTTTAAAAGGTAGTAGTATGCTTTCCTTGCTTTGCTGCATGTATTTTTTTGTGGTTATTGCTGGTTTTGAGTAATGCTAATTTAGTTTAAATATTTAAAATGAAAATTGTTCTATTTAATATTATATTATAAAATATTTACTTGTGCTACTCAGGTTCTGCTTAGGGAATTTAAAAATATTTACATGGTTAAGCTGGAAAGCTGGAATGATAATTATGTTAAAACAATTAAAATAATACCATACCTTTAAAAAACAAAACAAAACAAAAAACTTCACAGAAATCAGTGTAGTCTAATAATGATCATTGTTTCTTTGTTTCTTAAGTTTAATGTTTTATTAATGAAAATGTTTAATGTTTTAATGTTTTATTAATGAAAATGAGGTAAATATAAAGACATATGTCATTTTTAGAATTGTGAAATACATTTGTTATATTTTGGAGAATCAACAGATATACTAAGCATTCATTTAAAAAGCACAGATAAAAAATTTCAAAATGAGATAAAATAACCTAGCTAATAAAATGATTATATTTTGATAGTGTGAACTGAATATATATTAAAAACTTCTATGCAAGTCCTGTAATATAAAATGAAAATTGAAGCTATTGATCAGATGCCCAGTTTAAGAGAGTTTATTAAAAAGTGTAATTGTGATAAAAATCATTAAAATTAAAATGTGCCTGTTTCATATCTATATACAATACTTAAACATTTATATACTTGTAACGTTTAATTCAGTAAGTTCTTACATAGTATAAAAATATGGAAGTTATATGCCTAATATCTGTTTGTATAAAAATGAATATTACTGATAAATGCTATTTCTTACTTTCCATGGCATAAGAAAATCTAAAAAGAATACTCTCAATAGTATTTTTTAAATATATTTTATTGATTTTACACAGAGAGGAATTGAGAGGGATAGAGAGTTAGAAACGTCGATGAGAGAGAAACATCGACCAGCTGCCTCTTGCACACCCCCCACTGGGGATGTGCCCGCAACCAATGCACATGCCCCTCACCGGAATCGAACCCGGGACCCTGCAGTCCCCAAGCCGACGCTCTTCCACTGAGCCAAACCAGCTACGGCAAAAAAAGAATACTCTTTACCAGACATTTGAAATATATATCTCAGATGTTTAGCTGTAATGATTTCAAAAGAGTAAAAGTATTGCCTGTGGCGATGGCTTCAAGTGCTTAGTGTCAATCTTTAAAAAACAAAACAAAACAAAACAAAAAACTTCACAGAAATCAGTGTAGTCTAATAATGATCATTGTTTCTTTGTTTCTTAAGTTTAATGTTTTTTGGAAAATTATTTTTAGCTTTTTAGAGTTTTTTTTCTTCTCCTTAAGGCATCTAATATTGAATTTTTAATATCATAGAAAAACAAAGCAATTGGCTTTTTTATTTCTGTAGACAATAGAGAATATTAGAAGTTAATCTGGTTTGGATCACACATTTGAGAGGAACCATGCTGCATGTTATCTGCAGACATCTGTTTCATGTCATACACAGGACAGTCATCTCCTACCGTTCTGTTTTGTTCCCTCTCCATGTCTTTTTCCAGAACAACTCAGTCCTTTCCCCACTTCCCCTCCTCTGGATCTGTGTTCTGATGTTGTTAGGCAAGCAAATATGTGACCTTCTTTCTCCCTTCCAATGCGAGAGGCTCTGCTTTCAGGTTGATCCCATGACCTAAGGCCATGGTTCTCCCACTGTAATGTCCCTGGGAATTGGAGAACTTTGTTAACATGGTAATTCCTGGGCCCTATTCTGATTCCATAGATGAGAGGTGGGCCACAGGAATTTTTAGCTTCTTCCCAATGCAGGAGCGAACCCCGGACTAGCTGGTCTGTCCAAGAGGTGCAGCTCTGTGATGAAAACTTTTTGTTACACAGCAGCAAGATGGAACACAAGGACCTAGCACAACTGAGAGAGCAGTAATGACAATTTAAAAATTTTAAACAGTTCTCCTGTAGTTCTATAAGAGGGCTGATTCTATTTGACAAAAACGAACAAACAAAAAACAAACATATAAATAATTTTATATACGCTTCTGGTCCATCTGTCTTCTTCTTCTCCTGCTCGGCTACTCATTCCCTAATCTACAAAGTGAGGGAGGCAGCAGGCGCTGTTAGCCTGGCCCAGACCTGACTGTCCGCTTTGGAGAAGAGAAGGAAGGACTGACATGAGATGTATATTTAAGTTTTGTAAATGACTGCAACACGTATATTCAAGCGAAAGGATTAGATATTTTTATGGTGTGTGTATATAAACCATAAAATACAGGTTCTACAAATACCTTTTATTCCCAAATTTAAAATTTTTGATTCAATATCAATTTCAAGATAGTATCACGTGAGTTCTGAACCAATTTGTGGGTCAGAGCGACAGTTATAGGTCTTGACAGAGTCGAATCAGCCAGCTAGGTGTGGAAGGGCGAGGTACGTGTGTGGGAGGTGACAGTAGTTACATCAAATTAATTCTGCAGCTGGATCTGAAGTTCCAATTCCTAATTAAGGCATAAGGAAATTATTCACATTTCCACATCTCAAAACATCCACCCTTATTATTTTCTAAGGATGTGCTATATTCACATCACAAACAAAAAAAGAGACGTTATGTCGAAGAAAAACTTAAAGACACTAATTTATAATAGTTTTAAATACAAACTTAAGGAGTCTCTTGACTAAAGCTACTAGTAATTTACTGGTGCTTATGATCCTTGAAACGTCTTCTGCTGTGGAATCCCATAAAACATGTCCTTAAACATTCCCTATGAATGCCGTATAAAAAAGTTACTCTGTATTCAGTTCATTTTGAGCATTTATTTGAGCTTACTGTTGTAGGGGAGCCAAAATGAACTACAGTGATTTCTTGCATTAAAACTCAGCAGTCATTGTGTAGACAGTCCTTAGTTATGGTAGTATAATTATTATGTGCATGATAATAAGCAATCCAAATTAGCATAAGAAAATTCCAAGTAATTATGAATCAAAATGACATATTTGGATTAATTCCTCTATTCATTGAAGTTATTAAAGCATTATCCCTCTATTTTAACTAAATGCAATTTACTGAATGAAACTTATATCCTCTGCCAGAATTTAATGTAAGAGAATGTGGTGAATGAAGATATGAGGACATAAAAATGATTTTAACGTAGTAAATGTTTGAGCTGACAAATGAATATTTTTGCTTTTCAGATAAAACTGTGGTTTGACAAGGTTGGTCACCAACTAATAGTTACAATTTTGGGAGCCAAGGATCTCCCTTCCAGGGAAGATGGGAGGCCAAGGAATCCTTACGTGAAAATTTACTTCCTTCCAGACAGAAGGTAGGGATATGAAAGAAAAATAAATGTTTTTGAAAGTTAGTGAGAAATGTTGGTATCAATGAGTATTTTTATTCTGCATCATACCTTTCAGATACTTACGAAGTTTAACATAGCATAATAATTCTCAGGATTCAAAAAAGTGACAATAGATACTTTCAGATTATTTTTTAATGTATATCAAATATCTATAATATATATATTATTTTATTGCATATTTATTTCTGGGTGTGTGGCTTATTTCTTAAAGAATATGTTTCTGTTTATCAAACTTACGAAAAATTTGCCTCCTTTCAACACACTGCAGAGGCAAACGCTAGAAATGGTTCTAAAAGGTATTACTTATCGTATTCCTCTATAATTTCCATTTTCTCGGGCAAAGGTATGATTTCTTTAAATTCTATAAAATTAGTGAGTGTACTTTTTATTTCACCACCCCATGTGCTCAAGAGAATTTACCCTTTGGCCCAGAATCGGCTTCTTCATGGGTCATCATATTGTATGTCTTTGCTCATCAACATAAATAATATTGTTCTACCCCGATTTAAATAGAGGAATTAGGATTGGAGGAAAAGCTTATAAAACATTATGTGCTCATCGCCATAAATGTCAGGCACATGAGAGGCTATTCCATAGGACCTGGGAAAAGAAAGAAGTGACGAGTGTTACCTCCCCATCTTGATCTGCCTCCTGCCACCGGGACAGGGCATTCCCAAGGTCTGCTCCTTTCTCTCAGGTTGGAAGTGACCGGTCCCAATGTGATCTTAAATATGCGTCTCCACTTTGAGGTCCTCACTTACTTCGTTTAAGTCAGCCAGGCTGCTTTGGATGCCAGAGTATCCTCTGAAGAACCATTTCAGCTCAGAAAAAGATGACAAGGATGAAAGACGTTAAGAAAGGCCTTCCATCGTAGGATATAGAAATTTCTCAGAAAATATGCCAAGACCTAAAATTGTCAGAAGTTATTTGCTGTCTCACTTTATTTCACAAAGTTTGCTTGAGGATAGCTGTTCTCTAACAACTTAGGGTTGTCTTTTGGACGGGGAGACACTTTGAACTGGGATGGAGGAAGAGGACATCCATGACTAGAGTGTTAAATCTAGGTTACACTTCAGTTTGCCTTATTAAATTGCAAAGAGATCTGCAACACCAGAGGTTAGCCAGTCTCCCTCCCACCCAGGACAGAAGAAATCCTTTCTGAAATAGCCCTTCTTTAGAGCTTTCTCACTCCTTAGGAGGAAGTCAAGGCTCGCTTCTCCTATTCCCTTTCAGATGGCAGTGTAGACCATTCTTAAATTAGACAGCAAGGCTCCCACCAAATAAATCTTTCTTTCTGTCTTTCATGGAAGGAACTTTGTCTCTTGATGGAGTTTCATAATTCTCTCTTTAATGGGTGGAATAGAAGTAGATGCTTTAAAATATTAGTTAAAATTTTAGAAGGACCGGAGTGAGAGAAAACTACCACAGTGAAGTGGTGAACATCACAGTTTACTTGAGTTTTTGTCAAATGAGACTCTGGCAGTCTAAGTGAATAGCATATGAAGTGTCTTTGGTTAATTAGCATTTGGAAGGCTTTCAGTTGGACAGTTAGGAATAAGATTCTGTAGTCTTGTTTAGATTTTGAGAAAGGTATTTAATTATCTGATGGGAAAATTTCCAACTTAATTGAAATGTTGCTATTATTGAGTCAATACACATACGTGATATAACTACACAACTTACAAATTTTAATAGTAATTTTAAAGATTGCAATTTTTGATAAATTTGTGGCAAAACTTGACCTCTTTCCTGAGAAATTTTACATTGATAATTTTGTGGCAAATTTAAAATGAAGTTTTATATAAGTTCATGTATTCTAATTTTCTCCTAGTGATAAAAACAAAAGAAGAACGAAAACTGTGAAGAAAACATTGGAACCCAAATGGAACCAAACATTCATTTATTCTCCAGTCCACCGAAGAGAATTTCGGGAACGAATGCTGGAGATTACCCTTTGGGATCAAGCTCGAGTTCGAGAGGAAGAAAGTGAATTCTTAGGAGAGGTATCTGGAGTTATTTTAAAGCTTAAACTGTTCATCCCCTACTATGTTTTTGTTTTGTTTTTTAATATGACCGTCAGTAAAAGTCTCTATTTTGAATATCTGAAAAGTAAACATGGTTTATTTAATGGAATGGGTTTAGCTACTGTTTTAAGACAGAATTTATTGATGTCATAAAAAAACAATGGCTTTAAGGACTCCGTGTCAATATTCACATGTTTATTCTTACTGTATTCTCATGTCTCATTGTTGAACGATAGAGTTTCACAAATATATATTGCTGTTTTATAATGTGCGCATATCATTTTAGTTGACTGAACCAATCATACTGCTCTTAGTTCAGTCATTTCGTCCTGGATTTTGTTTAAGCTTTGTAATATACCTGTAATATGCTAGGCTCTGATGCTTCCAAGGTGAATACAGCATCATGTTACTTCCTGGAGGAATGTATAACCCACTGGGGATACAGATGAGTGAATAGGCAGTTATAATACGGTATGGCAAATGCTGTTAGAGAGCAATGCAATAGGAACATGTACATACTTGCTGTGCAAAGGAGAGGCACCTGGTCCAGGGGCCTAAAATTTCCGAAGAGGGACTAACAAGACACTAGAATTGGAGGAGGGCGGGGAGGAGGGGAGTGTTAACAACTGCACTGAAGCTGGAAGGGAAAGTGGTAAGAAATGAGACTTGGAGGTTAAACTGGCACCAGATTGTGTCCCTTACTCTGTCCCATTAAAAAGTTTGGATTGTATCCGGTGGGTAGTGGGAACCAATGATAGATTTAAGGAAGAGAGTGGCTTGATCCTATTGGATCTGAGAAGAATATTTTAGTGCTGTGTGGAGAATTACTTAGCTGGAGAGGGGCAAGCTGAGAGGCAGTTCTTCAGCCATTGACACACTAAGTTACCTGCTTTCAGCACTTTTCAATGTGCTTCGTTTTCCTGAGTAAATGCAATGGAGACCTCATGGGAAAACCAACCATCTGTAGAAATATGACACTGGATGTCAGTAGCGAGGTAATCACAGAGGAACAAGCCACTTGGGAAGGAGGGGAGCATGGTTGTGGGGAGCAGCGTCTGGGACAGCTGTGTGGGTCTTGCATTGGTTTGCTTCCTAGCCCATGTCCTTGAGCAAGTTATTAAATCTATTTCTCGTTCTATTTCCTCTTCAGCCACGTGTGAATACTAGGAGTTAGTATGAGGATTAAATAAGTGTGTGTGTGTATGTGTCAAAATTTGTAATACAGGGCCTATCACTCTGAAAATAACTAGGGGAAATTTGGGAAGAATGAAAGAACTTAGGTGTTTTGCTTTGTAATCTCCCATAGGTAAATAATGATTTATCACCCAATAGCAGTTCTCATGTTCCTAAGCATAAATGTCATAGTTGCTCCTGACCCTAAAAGAAAATAAAAAGTTATTAATTTCTATGGATTGGTTTCTTGTTAAAATATATTAAACATTTATATTTTAAGGTGCATATTATAGTATGTTTCATTTTAAAAAATCAAATGATCCTATTTTGAATCATTAGCAGCATATATTTAACAGAGTTTTATTTTATTCATGTTATACCTCTCTCACTTACCAGCTGATGTGAGCTTAGACAAGCTCTTTTAAACCGTTTTTTAGCTTTGATATCCTTTTCTGTAAAAGTTGAATAACAAGACCAAAACAGTAGGTTATTTTTCCCCCAGAAAATTTAGACAACATATAACATGGTTTTTGATATACATTAGACCCTCCTAATTGGGTCTCTCTCCATTTAGAGTTTATGAAAAGGCTAAATTAATGAATGAAAATGCTTTGTAAATTATAAAATACATTAGTATTATTATAGACTTTGAATAATAGTTGTTATTTCTATAATAGCAAATTCAACACCAGTGGGTGGTTAGTCTATTTAAATTTCTTAGATATTTAAAACTTTTAAATAATTAAGAAGTTATAACTATTTTGTTTATTGTCAAAATGTATGAATAACTTTGCAACATGGCTTTGCTTTTGATCTAATAGCATTACTATTATATTTTAAGAGAATTTCTGAATTATTGGTATATAATGGTTTTTTGTCTCTTGGCTTTGTAGATTTTAATTGAATTAGAAACAGCATTGTTAGATGATGAGCCACATTGGTACAAACTTCAGACCCATGATGTCTCTTCCTTCCCACTTCCCCATCCTTCTCCCTACATGCCACGAAGACAGCTCCATGGAGAGAGCCCAACACGGAGGTTGCAAAGTAAGTTTTCAGTAAAATTGATCATATCTTCCATTGAATTATCTTGAATGATATATATGACATGGAATTTGAAGATACATTTATGGGTATTAACATGTATCTCAGGGTTTTCATAGCTGTTATTGAATCTTTTAATTGTTTGATACATTAAGATGAGGTTATACCTGTCTATAGTATATATAGTCTGACTCCGAATGAAACAGTTATTTTTGATTCATTGATGAGTAATGTTATTCATCACTTTCCTGAAACATTATTTTGAAAAGTGTATTTGGATGTTTAAGTCTTTATTATTTTATATTCTTTATTGTTTTCAGTTAAAGTTGTGTAACATCTTAAGGTAAAAGTCTTCCTTTTTAACATGACAAATCATTTCTAAATTTGTTGTTTGATATTAACTGTTTACATAACAATTGAACTATAAAAGTTCAGTTAGAGATTTCTTTAATTTGATACTTCATTTTTTGTCACATATCAACTAGATTCATCTCTTAAAATTCTCAAATAATTCTTTACTTAGTAAAATGTTATATTATCACCTTTTCACTTTTTAAAATAGAAAACATCATACCTATTATACTTTCATTCAGCCCATGACCACCAGTCTTCAAAGAAGAGTGAATGGAAACAAATTATTGAGACAAAACCAAAATGATGCTGTTGCTAGGTGTAAGATGAAAGAGACATGATTTCATAATTAAGTTTTTCAGGATCTCAGCTATTTGCGCAGATTTGGGACCAATATTTATTTTCATTCTCTACCCAATTGAATTTATTTTCTCTTAGATGGCAATTACATATACTTATACAGACCTCTAGATATTTTTTACTGGTGTCATTATTATCTTATATCAGGGGCAGTTCTGATTCTCGACCAATACTAGAAGCATGTAATCTTTATGCTCTGTAGTGTGCCTGGCATATTAATTTTCATTACACTGTTCTCCTTAAATCTGTCAATAACTTCATCTGTGTTATCCCTCCTCTCTTCTGAGTCTGTTTAGAATGTAAGTCCTAATTATGTAAACCCCTAAATGCCCCGTCTGTTGGATGTCATCAGATGATTCTAGTTTTCATGTCAGTTGGAGCTATAACAGCCTCAGATTTGATTGGCTCTAAAGTTTAATGACATAAGAATTTACAAGGAAAATAGTGAATTTATTCAGTGAGACCACATGATCTCAGATTATTTTCTGCTGCCTAACCATTAGAAAGGAAAAAAACAAGAATGCAGTTACTGTCAACAAAGACTTTGTGTCCTAAGAGGGCAGGGATTAAAAAACAAGCAAAACAAGAAGAAAAAAAGGTTTGAAGGCATTTCAAATATTGGAGGGCATTCCTAGAATGTCCAAATATTGCTACTTTAGACATCTGAGACAATTTGAGATCTCAATGCTTTATAAACCTACAAGAAAGCAGTCATTTTCTGATAAGGGAGTTTAGTCTATTTAATGAATAACAAAATGTAAGTAGACCACACAAGTCATTTTTTTTTTTTTTTTAAATAGTAACACTGTTTTTATTTATCACTAGAGGCCCGGTGCACAAAATTCGTAATGGGGTGGGGGGGGGGGTCCCTCAACCTGATCAGCACCCTCTCCAATTCAGGAGCCCTCAGAGGATGTCCTACTGATGGCTTAGGCCTGCTCCCCATGACTTTCCTTCTCTCTCTGTTTTTTATTCTCAAGTTCCATTCAAAATTCCTTCCATTGATTTTTCAGGTTGGTGAGAGATTACTATTTTTTCCTTAGTAAATACCAATTTTAATTATTGCTGTTTGCTTTATAGGATCAAAGAGAATAAGTGACAGCGAAATCTCTGACTATGACTGTGATGATGGAATTGGTGTGGTGTCAGGTAAGAATTTCAGAAATATTTTATAATAAGCAGGAAGAGTAAATTCATCATTATTTACCAATAGATAGATAGATAGATAGATAGATAGATAGACTGATAAAATGAGAAAGAAATAACTTGCCTTCTCATCTCCCCCAAAAATACCTTATGGGAATTTAAACTCCTGATTAGTTCTTATTGCTGTAACACCTGAACCAATTGTTAGATTGAATATTCATATGGAAATATTTTAAATAAGTGAATTCTTATTAATTTCCTGCTTTACACTACTAAATAATAAGGATTTTTCTGTAATTTTGAGGAATTATTATATAATTAAAACTTTTTTACATACTGTGCTTATACTGTGAAAGAGAAGAAAATCTTGTTGAGATCACCCACATACCCAAATATGTCAAATACTTATTCAAGTATTTAAAAAATTTTTTTCATTGTTGTGTTGGTTAAGTATCAGATGCAGCTACTTTTGAAATTATGGCATTATAGTTTAAAATATTTGCTAATGTATTGTTATAAATTATCTGATGATTTTAAATTTAGGTAAGTAGCCTTTAAAAAAAAAATACCAGGGAAAAATATATCACAGTTTACTCTTTAATATTATAAAAATGTTTCTCTTCTTCTTGAAGGCAAATTAACTTAACAGATTTCAAGGGTATGACTAATTTTACCTTGGACAAACATGCTACATGCTACAGTTGCATCAATTATTGATAAGAATTTTTGTTTGACAATTTTTGTTAGAGTCGCATCAGTTAACATGCTATCAAAGTACCTATTATTTTTTTAAAATTCCATGACTATCTTTTAGTTTTTATTTTTGCAGTATGGGTGAACAATATATTACTTTACTAAACCTGCAAAAGATAATTTACATGTTTTATGGTTTGTGAATTAAACCTCAATAAAATGGTTTTGAAAAATATTTCCCATGGCCTCTTGCTTGGGAATTATAACAGTTTTCTCCCCAAATGTATTCTATTCCTTTAATAATTGATTTTTCCAGTTTTCTTTATCCTAAAAAATGTCTTTCAGGTTTTGAACTTCTTCATCTTGATGCCATTTTTGACACATCTCAATTCTTTCATCTTTTATTTTTAGAATGGCAAAAAATATGATCATTTTGTTATTTTTCCATTTTGTTTAAAGAGGTGTATTTTTGAAAAAGAACTTTATAGGAATTTTTATTATTTACTTTAATAGTGTATATTTGTTATTCTATTCTATTACTGAATAGTGCTTAGAAAACCTGAATCATTCACAGTATTTATCCTGGGTTCATTATTTTTCAACATCAGAAAAAACCATCCTTGTTTCTACATTTTTCTTCCTGCCTGTGTATAAAGTACAATATATAGCGAATAATTTAATAATCCGTTGAGAAAAGTATTTGAGTATTTGTCATCCTTTTTTAAGTATTTACAGAGTATTTTATTGTCCTAGTATTACCTTTACCATACTCAAAGGCTGCAGCTTCACCCGCATTTTACATTTTTCAGTAAAGTAGGAAATACAGAAGAACTTAGTGTGTAGGTAACTGTCATCTTAATCTTTCCACCTTTAGATTATCGACACAATGGCCGAGACCTTCAAAGCTCAACGTTGTCAGTGCCAGAACAAGTAATGTCATCCAACCATTGTTCACCATCAGGGTCTCCACACCGAGGAGATGTTATAGGAAGGACGAGGTCATGGTCACCCAGTGTCCCTCCTCCACAAAGGTAAGATAGCATGCACACTTTATTCCTAGGATGGTGGTACAAGCCTACCTGTGGTAAAACACCAGGAATAACCTCTAAAGATAAAAAATTCTTATGGGAAAAGTATCTTCAGGAGAAACAAAGATGCTATTGGATAACCTACATAATGAGAATAAAGTAAAAGATAGTCTTCTCTATGACTTTGGAAGACCCATGTATTATTTTATTCGAAGAGTTCAAAGTTATAAACAGGATCCAGCTTGAAATCACTTATCAATATTGAGCAGATCTAGTTATGACCAACTTATTATACTCATAAATGGTAGAGATATTGATAACTTAAGGAACAGGGGGAAAAATAAACATATGATGCGCTTTAAAATGAGGAACCATCGTGCGAAGAGTTAAAGGGAAGGATGGCTCAGTAAATCTGTAGCTCCAGGTCTATGCCTCGTGGGAAAATTCTGGTCAATGCAGGTAAGTACTGAAAGGCGTAATAGAGTTAGAGCCATGGAACTAATATGCTTGCCATTAATAAATATGTGCATAATTCACAATTTATATACTTGAATATTTAATAAATTTGAAAATGTTGAATTTTGACATTTGAACATTATGATTCCTATTATAAATGAATAAATGAATTAATTTTAGACTTGGAATTTTTAATTGTCATCTTAATTTGATGTATGGTAGGAACCATCTAAGAGAACTTGAGGTTTGTATTTAAAAGCTTACTTAACTTATAAGGATGTTAAGTACTTAAAATGTTTACTTAAGTTTAGACATTGAAGAAATTAAAAAGGAAATGTAATATATTGACCTCATAAACATAGTTTAAAATATTTGAAGATGTTAACTAAACAGTTTAACATTGAAACTAAAATTATTTTCTGAAAAATAATTTCTTAAATGTGGTAGACCTCTCAATAGAGTGATATGATTAGGAGCTTATATAACAGACTTATTCTGTCATGAAAAAGAGAAAGATGATCTAGACAAAGAATAGTAGCTTAAAAAAATCATCACGATCAATTAGAAATACTTCAGTTTAGATTTTTTTAAAGCAATCATTATCTCTAAAAATGGGATATGGCAATATATTGTCTATAAGCAATATGCTGAACTCGTTTTCTCCACACTAATCAGTTTTTCCAGTGGTATTTTTGTATCGTTGAATATCACTACTAGAGATCTCAGAGCCATATATTAATAGCTTTGATAATCCTATCACTATCCTTATCAATAGTGCCTTAGTTTTATGTTATACCTCTGTTCTTGAACGAATCTCCTAACTTCACTGTCAACCTCCGGTTGGCATTTATGTGGACATTAGCCAGAGGGACAACTGCTTAGTTAAAACAAAACAAAAAACTTGAACTTGACAGGATAGTAATTTTTGTCTTTTTTTACTGCACTCATCAGTAAACCTTGTTTGTTAGTTTAGCCTATGGTTATGATTTGAGTATATTTAATGTGTCTTGCTATTTCAGTCGGAATGTGGAACAGGGACTTCGAGGGACGCGCTCTTCCACTGGCCATTATAACACAATTAGCCGAATGGATAGACATCGTGTCATGGATGACCATTATTCTCCAGACAGAGACAGGTGAATGCGATTAGATACTCCTCTGTTTTCTTATAATCACTGCCTTCAGGAAAGAGGTGTTACTATTAAATGTTTCTATTCTGAAATTTCTTAAACCCTATGTTTTCTTCAAATGCCTACATTCTTTCTTATGACCCCCACATCATTAAAAAAACAAAACAAAACTAAAACAAAACAAAACACAATAGTTTCTTTCGTAAGAAAAAAAATAATCATCTTGCTCTTGCAATTCTGGGCCTTTGTTAAATCAAATTAGTAAGTTAGTAAATTTGCATGTGAGGTTATAATGATAGTCATAATGAAAATGAGGTGTTTTATTATTTTTACTTTATAATTAATATCTATAAAAATATTTCCATGTGGCAATAGATTTTAGTCTGTTACATTCATAGGAAAATCAATGTGACTTTTATATATAAAAGTATTGAGATAAGCCTGGAAACACAAAAACTGATTCATGAAGAGGTTCTTCCTCATGGCTTAAGTAAACTTTTTAAGCATCGTAAAGAATCATGCTGTTGATTGCTGTATTTAGAAGAATTCTCTGAATTTGCTCTATTAAATGTCACATACTTGGAATTAATTAATGTTAATTATTACTAATTTTTTAATTATACAAATTGATTAATTCTAATTCATGGTTTGTTGTTTATAAAATAAAAAATGCTATATTTTCCCCAAACTATAAAATGGGTTTGAAATAAGAAAAGAAAACATAATTTACCATTCAAAGAATGTTGTGATAAAATAACAAAGGAACTCAGAAGTCCTTTTGTATGCATCCTAAACTAATTTTGGTAGAAATACTTGGGGGATTTAAATAAACTAATATGAGCTGTATCTGCCAATATCCATAAGTTTGTTATGTCTACATACAGGGCTATATGTTCAATTCATGCTTGTTATTTCATTGTGTTTTTTTTAGCATGTTTTCTTTAATAGAGCACAGCAAGTATTGGCTTTTGAGTCTGAGAACTAAGGAGACATTAGGAAGTTATTAAGTTAATGTCTTTATCATTGTTGAATGAAAGTTAGTGTAGTATATTACTTTTATTTGTTTGACTTTTTCATAGTTTTTTAGGTCTTTAGGTGTAACTATAGGTATGCTACCTATAAAAATGTATACTTATAAGTGCAATAAGAATGAATAAAAGATAAACTATCATGATTAGGAATTGGAAGGAGTCCCATGAAGGTGTGTGAATGATTACTTTTGTCACGTAGTAAAATTTTGTGTTTGGTTATTTCTGGAAACTGTCTGTATAGTGATTAACACATTCATTGTTTATTGAAAGTGTAAGGAAATGAAGGGACAGAAAAGTCTGAACTGACTTGAAATCATTCAAGTTTATGTTAAGTTTTTTTTATAATTAAAAATGGACTCAATATTTTCTCTGAAGATAATGTGGTCTAAATCTTGCAAAGAGGGATGGAATAAAATTAGCCTCTAGAATTATACTCACACACAAAAGGTGTCACTATCATGCAAACATATCATATTTTAAGGCAAATGGCCCTAGTATTAATGACAAAAAATTTGACTTAGCCTTGGTTATTACCTGATATAGTCATAATTGAAATATTGTTTTTCACATTCACTTTATAACTTTAAGAGTCTTCTAGTTTAGCAAAAATTTTCAAGTAATTCAAAGCTTTAGAGAAATTGATCTATGTGGTTTAATTACTCTCTTAGCGTGCCTTATATTATTACGAGATCCTAATTACTGTTAATTATGAGCTGTTTTAAATCCATTTTGAAATAAGTAAAATAGAATGCCATTTAAATAGGACTATAAAACATTTGTAATATATTATTTTTGAGTTATCCATGCAACTATTATTTCTTAACACAAGGAATCAAAACTACAGTATTACCCATGTACTCTATCATAATATTAAATAATGGGTTCTTCATTTCTGTTTGTCCTAATATTCTAAAATATTTCCAATAATAGACTAACGTAAAAGCATTGTAATTTTTATGTATTATTTAATTGTTAAGAGTACTCTAGAATTCTTACAGTGAATATTCACCAACAGCATTTTATCAGGGCGATCACATGGTTGATTGAAAAGTCTAAAAGAGAATTTCCTTTGAAATAGTAAATAAATTTAGGTATTTTGCACAGTGTGTTAATCTTTCTTGATGCATTGGACTAGGACAGTGTTTTTATTGAATACTTTGTCGTGGTGTTTGAAACCTAAAGGCATTGGGTTTGAATTTAGGCTTTTACACTTGCTCACCGTGTATCTTTGGGAAAATTGACCTCTTTGGAATTTGATCTCCTCATTTCAATAATCATAACAGTAGTGCCGATTTTACGCGGTTGTTTTGCCCGCTGAATGACCCTGTGCTCCAGTTGCATCGTATAGCCTAGACGATGTGCCTTACCCCTCAGCATGTTTAAAGGATCTTTTGTCTTTCAAATAATTTCCATTTTATGTGCTTATCAATTAAGCAGAAAAAAAAGGGGAAATCAGTCAATTCATCTGTTTTTTTAAAAAAGCTATGTAGAGAACATAGGGCATGACTTGGGCCTTGGAAAACAAGAATGTTTAGCCAGGTGAGAACAAGAACAGAGATTCAGGGGCTGAACACATGTGTGTGTCTGAAAGAGCCAGTATGAAGGATGAAGGACTTGAGGACGTGGGGGAAAGTTATGCAGGAAGATAGTGGCTTTTCCATCAGCATATTGGGGAGAAATTATGCTATTTGACTTTCATTTATAGCATCTGGTTAAACTTCAGTGGTATAAGAAGGAGATATAGTATTCATACTCTTTTCTTATGGGTAACATAAAAAATCGTATATCAAAATTTGATTTGACCTTTAGTGTTCTTCTCCTCTTACTCTTTTGTCCTAAGTCAAAATCCTATTTTGTTTTGAAAAGAAAAGTTCTTTATAAATAATTCAGAGACTTGAGTGCAGGGGTATTAACTGAAATGATGAATTGCAAAGGGCACCTATCCCCTATTACTTTCTGTGTCATTGTCTCTATGGTAAATTTTGTTAACTGCAGCCACTAGGAACATAATTTTCCTGGGAAAAACTATGTCGCTTTCGTGTTAGAAATTATTTTAAGAGCTTATGTGTTTACATGATTTAATTTACTATTAGAATAAGTATGCTGTACTAGATACTATTGCTGTAACATGTTAGTGATATCCTGCAGTGAGAATTTTATTTATCCTAGATGCCAGAATATTTTGGGTACATGGCATTAATAGATATTTAAATTACAAGAAGAGGAATAGCTGATGGATTATATTAAGCTCCAAAGGGGGGATTAAAGAATTATAATGAAAGTAGAAGGGACTTTAGAGATCTTGGAGTTCCAGCTTCTGAAGAGGCACCTGAAGGTTGCCTGTTGTATGTAGGTAGGGATGAAGTGGAAGGGAAAGGGTCTAGTTTCTCTCATTTTCTCCAGCCCCGGAGTCATTCTGATTTTACTGCATTTATATGTTATCTATTGGTTTAACTTAACATTTTGTTAGAAAATTTGAAAACTGCTGCTCTAGCCCTCTCATGTCACAAATGCAGCACTAGGTGTCCGAATAGGCAGATGACTTGGTCAAGCCTCGCAGTTAGCATGTGTTTTTCTGAAGAGTCTGCAGGACATTTAAGCAGCCGTGTGAAAAGCCCAGAAGGCCTCTGGAAATGTGTTGTGGAACCCAAAGAAAAATTAAGGCTAACGCTAGAGTTTGCACCGTAAGAACAAGTAATGTTATCTGGAGAATGTGTTGGAATGTAAGGAAGGTGAAGGATTAAATCTTGGGAAACCCCTGCATCTAAGAATATAGAAAAAGGCAATTTAGTAGATGAAATGAATAAAGAAGCAAGAGACCAAGCCATGTGTACAAACATTAAGACCCTGAATTTTAAGTTAAGGAAGCCCCGAGCTTGAAACCCAGTCCTGCTCCTTTCTGTATGGCTGTGGGCAAGCACTCATAGCTCAGTGTCTCTGTCGGTGGGAATCCTAGCACCCACCTCCAAGAGTTTTTATGAGAAGTAAATGGGATAAAGTAGACAAAGTTTAATAGAGTACATGGCACATAACTGTTAAATAAATACCATTTTTTTTATAGCCAGAAAAATAGTGTTGAAAAACCAAGAGAAGAGTGTCAAGAAATAAAGGTTGAAAATCAATGTCTATCTAATACCACAGATAAATGTAATACGATGAAGATTAAGAAAAGATTAAGGGATTTTTCTAGGATTTCACAGATAACATTCACAGGACAACTTCAAGAGAACTGTAGAGGCCAAAGTCCAGGAAAGTCACAGAGATGCAGTGGCAAGTGTGAGGAAGGCAAGTTCAGTTAAGCTTTTATTTTTAGGATTAGTGCACTTGAGGAATGGTAGGTCATCTATCCCATATGATAAGAGAGGAACATGCTAATTATCTGTTACACCTTGGGGCTTAACCACCAACTGCTTAAGGACTAGATCACGGATCTGCGGGAGGGTGGAGCAGCGAACTACAAGCAGGTGGCAAAAAGCTATAGGAGGGGGCAGGATGGCAAGCTATTAGGGGGAGGGCAGCGGGGAGAACTACAGGAGGGCAGGGCAGCAGGTGGAGAGCTACAGGAGGGTGGCAGAGAGCTACTGGTGCATGAATTTGTGAGCAGGGCATATGTATATACTGTATATGCAACCGTTCGACCGGTTGCTATAACGCTCACTGATCACCAGGAGGCAGACAGTCCACACAGGAGCTGCCCCCTGGTGGTCAGTGCGTTCCCACAGCGGGAGCACCCGCTCAGCCAAAAGCTGGGCTCATGGCTGGCGAGCCCAGCTGCTGTGGCAGGAGCCTCTCCTGCCTCCTGGCAGGGCTACTGAGGTGGTGACTGCAGCCGCGGCTGTGGCAGGCACAGCAGGGCCAGGAGGAGCAGCAGCGGAGCTGCGCCCTGCCCTGCCCAGCGGGGGCTCCTCCCCAGCCAGCCGCCTGCCACTTGGGCACTGGATTGTGATAGAGTGTGAGCCAGGCTGAGGGACCCCACCCCCCCATGCACGGACCCGTGCCCCAGGGCTCTTGTAGACAGTGATGAATGGAGCAAGGTCCTGTGGGAAGTGGAATTACAAATGGAGGACTTTCTTCGGTGAAGAGAAAGGGACAAGTGAAGGTACAAATATATATTTGCTCTCTATGTTGAGGTAGAAGAATGGAAGTTGAGAGAGTTCAAGGTTGGTTTCTATTTTTTACCGAAAGGCAATGATCATCTGCCAAAATTAAGTGTTTTCAATTAGTGCTATGCAAAGAAGAGAATCACAGACGCCTAGAAGGTCAGTGTGCTGCTTTGATGGCTATGGTGGACATGAGGCATGGAATGCAGCAGAGCCATAGCATGCAATAAACATAATAAAAATAAGGAATGGAAAAGTGTCTATTGTCCAATAAGTTTAATAAATGCAGTTAATCAGAAATGATTTGAATCAGTTTGTTCTTTACTAAATTGAATTTATAAAGAAAGCCTTTTAAGTAATTAATGATTGAAGAAGAAACAATTGCCTTGTAAGATCTCCTAACTATGACAAGTATTAAAATTTGCCTCTTTTATTATTTTCTTCTGAGCTTTCTGGTTATTTTATTATTTTTCTCTCCTCTCCTTTCCTCCTAAAAAAAAATTGGAAAGCACCTATCATATTGTGTAACATTTTACAGATTGTGATGAAGATGTTTGGGTAATAACTGACAATAATTTATTTTGGAATATGATTTATTTAAATCTCAATTTGTTTTCTTTTGTTGTGTTTTGTTTGAGACTATTTAGAATATTTTAACCTTTATCTCTGACATACCTTATGGATATTGGGTGGAAAGAGCAAGCTTTCCAGTAACAATTTTCATTTGCTTTGCTTACTACCTGCTTATCTTTTTTTAACCTCACTTTTTAAATGAAACTATACCTTTTCATTTCTTTCCTGAGTCTCATTTATGTTCTTGTTTCTGCCACGCTTGCAGTCACTTTCTTACTCTACCTCGCTCCAGATACAGTCAGACCATTGACCGTCATCACAGGGATGGCAGGTATACTTTTTCTTACAATTGAGTGTGTTCATAGAATTGCATGTGCGTGTCTATTACTGTGATATAACTCCTACTTCTGTTTTATATATATATATATACATACGGTTATAATGAAATAGGGGTACATTATCCTTATAAAATAATAGTAAGTAAAGCAATATAAACTCTTTGATTGCAGTAACATGTCAATTAACCGGTAAATGAATTAGAATCCTATCTTTGATGGTTCTAAAATTTTAGTTTTCCAAGAATGACAATTAATTTTGATTTCCTAGAAGGATCAAATATAGTTTCATTACATCTGCCTGCCCACCTCCCTCCACAGAGTTCATAATTAGGTATTTAGACAGCACTGGTTGATGTGTACATATCTTAGCGACCTGCTTCCCTCCCTCAACAGTGGAGGAGTCAGTCCTGAAATGCTGAGGATGAACTGAGTGGCTTATAGCTGCCTTGCCCAAAGTGGCTGTAATCTACTCCTTGGTCGTAGATTTCCCTCGGTGGGAAAATCTTTGTTCATTTCTCATCTACCCCTTATAATGGAGGGAGATTTCAATTACATGGCACTTAACAGAAGAGAGAATTAACTAGAAAAAGAAGAGGAAAAGGGCCTATATGTAGCTTTAGGGACTTGAGCCAGTTCAAGGACAACATTTTGAAATCCTATAGGGAGAGAAGAGAATGGCAGTGATACTATGGTGGGCTCGGCTAGTGTAGACAAGGAATTAGATGCTGTGCTCTATCATTTCAAAGTGATTAGAGTTATGTGTGACCATTTTTATCCTATTAGTTAATTAAGAGTTAATAAAAATTATTGAAAAATAATGACTAAATTTCGAAGGATTGAAATGATGTAGATAAATGAAAGGAAACATAAGAGATACCATTAACAATATATTCCTAATAATTCAAGTTTTGTGATGTCTCTCAGTAAATGTAATTAAAAGGGAATGGCTTTCAGTTTATTATAGTGATTTTTATTATATTTTATTTTCTTTTGCATTTTCTCAGTCCCTTTCATTTTGCTTTAATACTAAATAGTTCTTACTTTGTTGTTCTCTCTTTTATTTTTAATATTGCTGGATGTAACCTTTAGACTATTTTTTGGTTGCAATGATTATAAGTTTATCTTAAAAATATATGGAAATGTGGTTACATAATTGTCCTCATAATTAACCAAGACCTTTCTTAAGGTGGGTGACATGAATGATCACAGGCTTATTCCACTTACTATGGTAACTTCATTTCACTGTAAGTTAAAACCATGCACCACGTTTTTTACATTCTATATTTTCCTAATTTTACTTATCAATAAATAGAGTATCTGCCTCATATTACTTATTCGTTCAGTAAATCAACATGGATAGAGTCAGTTCTTGATCATATCGTAGTTGGTTATTAATTTCACAATACTTAACAATTCTCAACCTAGCTGGCCTATTTTGAAGGATATATTTCTGAATTGTTTTTTTGTGTGCCATGATTTGGTTTGTGTTCAGGAAACACAATATCATTAATGTTTACATTAAAGTACAATAAAACACAGATAGGAAAATAAATTTAAATAAACAAGTTTTCAAATAGCTTACCGTAAGGTTTGCTGTCATTTAAATGATTCAAATTTGTGAGTCTGTGTATAGACAAATTGGGTAGGTTTTGTAAGAATGAAGTTCTTTTGTTGCTTTTTAAAGTATTCCCTTTGATCATTATCAAACTGATACATAGAAAAGAATGTGTGCACATTTCAAAACATAATAATGAAATGAGCAACCACACATATACCACCCAAACTGAGAGCCAGAGGAGATGCTCATACACCTTGCATCTTCTGCAGGCTCCTGGCCTGTTGCGTGCTCTTCCACAGAAGTAATAAAGGCTATACTGAATTTTCATTTTACATTCCCTTACTTAGCTTTTTTTTTAATTATTATTATTATTAAGGGACTTGGATCATTTGTTTCCACTCTGCTAACTTTCCAAGTTACTCAATTCCTCTGACCCCATTTTAGTGCCCTGAGATTCTGGGATTACTGAAGATATGAAAGTTTACCTAATCATCTCCCCGTTCTTTTACATATGTTACCATAGCATTCCATGCTTCTTGTTTTAAACTTCTGCACTTTTATATGTAATGCAACTTAGCACAACCACTCATTGCCCTTCCATGTTAGTATCATCTGTTGATCTTTTGGGTATGCTCTTTTAATTACTGGATTTTTTAGTGCCTGGACTTAGTCTTCATCACCTTGAGGGTAGAGTTCACCTGAATGATCTATTCAGCACCCACTTACTTTTTTGACTGTTTCAAATATGAGGGAGTGGACTTTACCTCCAATTCTGCTTCAGTCACTCTTATGACCGTACTCTGCGTCTTATGATCATTTCAGATTGTTCTGCCTTTGAAATCTTAATTCCAATATTCCACTCTTGGACCAGAATTCCACAAGGCTCTTTTCCATTCTTTCATTGAGTTACTTTTACCTCATCAGTTCTTTTATGTTAATAGAGGAGTCTTCCCTCTTGACTCTTCAGCTTTCGTTTTGTGTCTTGGAGAGGGAGAGAAACTTCAGTGTGAGAGATAAACATTGGTCAGCCACCTCCTGCATGCACCCCCACCAAGGGATCAAGCCCATCACCTGGATATGTGTCCTCACCGGGAATCAAACCCATGACCTTTTAGTGTACAGGGTGATCCTCCAACCAACTAAGCCATACCAACAGGGCTAATCCCGTCTTCTCCTTCTTCTCTTTCTCCTTCTTCTTCTCCTTCACTTCATACAAAGTGATCTAGGTCTGCTGCCTCAGAACATAACCTTTCTTACTAATATTTTAATAAGTCCACAGTGTCAAAAAGCAGCTTATCTAAAATGAATGAAAACGTGCCCCATGTATATTAAATAATCGGCCTAAACTGCTCCAACTTTAACAGATAATGAGTGAGGGTAGCATCAGATCCCTATGTGAGGCTGCTGAGAACTGATAGGAGGCACTTTTTGCCCTGCCTCTGTGATGTCTTTGCATTTCTGGATGATAATATTTCCATGATCTAATTCTGGACACACCACAGGCACATCAGTGGGGTCAGAGGTTAGCTTAGCTGCCTGCTCGGCTGTAACAGATTTCACCCCTGGATCCCACTGCAGCCCAGACTGAGTCCCTGTGAGTCTCTGCACAGGACACTTGCAGCACCTTATCTTCTCCACCACAGGCTTCCCATTGGACTCCCTTACAGTCTCCTCTATCTGCTGAAATTTCTCCAGCTGTGTGTGTGTGTGTGTGTGTGTGTGTGTGTGTGTGTGTGTGTGTGAGATCCATCTTTCCTACTATATCTTTAACATCATTCATGCTTATTTTAAATCCCCTGTTAGTTACAACTCTGTTGATTTCTTTGCTTCTTGACACTGTGCCTTATTTTTCTTGACTGTTAGGTATCATGTAATCAGTAGTGACTAACGCAGGGAGTATTCTGCCTGAAAGTGTGTGTGTGTGTGTGTGTGTGTGTGTGTGTGTGTGTGTGAATTGATCCTCAGATAGCTACTTTTGTGTGCTGTGTGTGTGATTTGGTCTGACATTATGAAGTGACAGCTAAGGCAGCAGGCAGTAGTGTGTATGAGGAACGTGCACTATTCCCATTCCACTGTCAATGTAAAGCCAGCAAAGCAAACGGAAGGCTAAAGAATTGTTCCAAGTCGATCAGTGAAGCTGTTGAACATAACACTCAGATAGTCTAATGTGGGGACCATGTCCCATCACATTTACTCATATAAAGAAGAACAATGCATAATTCAGTCCTTTGATCTACATCTTTAAAATATTTGGTATTTTATGGATTTTTTAAGGATCTAGGAAGGGAAAACAAGGCCAAATTCTTGGTGGACTAACTTGAATTTCTTACAATTGGCAAATGTTATTAAACTTTAACATCCACTGAAAATGAAACTATTTAGTAGTAAAATAGAAATCTTATAGATAGAAGTTGGTAATTATATTTTCTCTCAGGATTTTGAAAAAATATATATTTTAAAGATGTATTAATTTGCTGCATTTTAATTGTTGGTAAGTAAATAATCCGACTTAATCATAGTTTTGTTTCTGGTGGGTGTTTTTTTGTTTTTTGTTTTTGAAGTAAAAATTAACAAAAATTATAAAGACTTAATAAGATACTCAATTCAAAACATTCTCAAGATATTTACATCTTATATGTTTCTCTGTGTGCATATCAATAATACATTGTTATATTTGACCCTATTAATCTTAAAGAAATTAAGATATTTAACCTTTTCTTCTTGCTGTTTCAAATAATTACTATTTTTAAAAAATGCTTTTCTAGATATGAGACACTTTACTTCTCTTTTTGATGATAATTCATGCTTATGGCTAATAGTAATATGTTTTTCTAAATTAAAGCTGTCTTGCTGTCTCTCATCATATGTTTTATTGACATTTCCCCATTTTAGATTGTTACTAATGTGGCTGGCTCTAGATATTGCTGTTATTTTTAACAAACTTAATTACTTTTAACAAAATACATAATTTATATTTAACTGAACAGAAATGCCCTATGGAGAAATGCTGTCATTCCCAGGGATAAATTAATCTATCTCCCACCGAAATAATAAAATGTTCCTATTTGTGCACAATGCTTACTTCCCATGATTTCCATGGTGTTTTGTGTTTTGCAATTTCTTTAACTTTGAAAGCAATGCCAAGCTAATATAAACTAGAGGTTTTTTAAAAGTTAAACTTTTACCTTTTACGTTATGATCATGAAAATTATATAGTTGAGCCATATGATTACTTTAAATTATTTGTTACATTACACATATATATGTTATATTAATTACCCTAAAATGTCTCATTTAAAAATATTATTATATATTTATTTCTTATACTATGCAGCTCATGTTCAGAAAATCTCTAGACATTCAAGCTATTTTATCAAAGATATAATGCTTCTATTGTGTGAATCAGTTTACTATATTACACAATGTGAGTATGGGACAGACATTTCTTACACCAAACCTGAGATTATACTCCTCAGAGAGACATCATTTTTTAAAGATTTCAGCTTTGGAAAGAAATAATTTCTTTATAAAAGTAAAAACTAGCTTTATTATTATTATTTTTTACAAGTTTTATTTTTTAAGAAATCCTGTTAGGTTTACGAGGGTATCTTTGCAATATAAACATGAAATAAGACTGATTTAAGCATAGACTTCAGTGTCTGAGTTATATTTTAGGACAATTTCAAGGACATATCTGAATATTACTTTGAAACTTTGCATTGTGCTGGTTGTTTTAAATTTTTTAGTAGAATTAGTATTCTTCTATCATATCGAGAGAGATACTCTGCATCGAGCTTATGTTGATTTAGAGTTGCATCATTGTGATGGTTGGTATAAGTGGTTATAGAAAAGAATGTTCAATGGCCTCTACTTACTGCTACACCGCATACATTCCTTGTACTTGATTTAAAATAGGATAAATAAGTAGCAAAAATGGTGAAATAAGCAGGAAATTGTTTCAGATACTTGGAATTTTTTAAAAAATCTTTTAAGAGCAACTATACTGAGAGGAAAAAATGGCTAAAAATGGCAATTTCACTGGAAGATTATAAAATTATTTTTTCTTTAGAAATCCTCATCTCAACAGCCTCGTGCGCTATTATATGCTTTTAAAGCTGGGTGTGACAATTACTGGCTCTTGTTCCAATATTATCATCAATGGGAATTAGCTCTGTTTGCAGAGGGTTGTTCAACTGTGTCCTCTCCCAATACTTGCCTTTTGGAATAGCAGCCACTAAATAGGCCAGAGCAGTAATCTGTCCCAGTAAATGACATGTATAAAAAGTGAACTATTTAAAACATACATTAGAAAATATAACCTATTTTTTTTTTAAAGATAGAACCATGGCATATATTAAATCGCTTTTTGGAAGACAACTAATTATTTACCTAAGAAAGACTTACATTTTTATATGAGTGGTTCTAAACCTTCGGCAATCTTGTAAAACATATGGCCACCTTTTTTGAAGACTGTTTTAAAATGCATAAAGTAAACCCTAGCCGGCTCAGTGGATAGAGCATCATCCTGCGGACTGAAGGGTCCCCAGTTCGATTCTGGTCAAGGGCACATGCCCAGGTTGCAGGCTCAATCCCTAGTAGGGGACATGCAGGAGACAGCCAGTCCATGATTCTCTCTCATCATTGATGTTTCTCTCTCTCCCTCTCCCTTCCTCTCTGAAATGAATAAAAATAAAAATATATAAAATGCATAAAGTAAAATAAAGTACACAAGTAGGGTTGCAAAGGAAATGACTTATATTGAAATGCAGACCCCAAGTTAAGAAACCCAAATAGACACTAAAATATTTTATGCATTATAAATGGTTTTTCCGTTATTTCCCAAATTCCAGTTGCTACCCTGTATTCAGGATTCATTCTTTATGTTATTATCTTAAAATGAAAATTGACCAAGTGTAGGTTGTCAGGCTTTATATTTCAATCCCCTATAGACCTGCAATGAGACTGAGTATTTCCTGAGACTTCGGCTTGGCTGCTCTCAGCAGTTACTCAGTTCTTGTCTAGTAAGACCTTTCGTGGGAGCAGAAGTTACCTTGACCTTCTGTCGTGGAATCAAAATTTAAAATGTGGCAGCTTTCCATCCCACTTTACTGTGGGGCGCATCTCAGGAATTTCTGCCTTCACCTGTGGTTCTTTTCATGTTTTACTTTTTAGCAGATTTTTCCATTTCACACATGGAAATCATATCATTTATATTATTTATGAAATGAGGCAATGTAAGTAAAATTTAAAAACTGATTATAGTCTTCCAACAACTTTTTTACTAAAGATATATATATATATTTTTTAAGGGATATTTCCTAAGGAGTGACCCTATAAATAGCAGTACCATTTAAAGGACAAGGAGCATAGCAACACAATTGAAATGATTCCCTGGATTTTACTCACAGTGATATATTCCAGTTATTAAAAATGTATTGTCAAAGAAGTGAAGGTGTGTGTCTCTTAACTTTTCACTTGGGAAAAATTGCTTGATTGAATCAGAATAAATCAAATTTTGTATAAATAAATTAAATAGCCTGAATTTCTGTTTGGGTAGTCATAGGTATTCCACAGAGTTTTGTTACTATATATTTTATAATGAGATAACCCAATTCTTAACTTAGGAAATGTGAAAATAATATAAATATTGATACTGTCTAAAAATAGGTTTTTAAGGAATCTAAGAATGTATATCCCTTTGATTTTAGTTATCTATTGTGATAAATATATTCATAGATATGTATACCAATAATTAACAAATTATTGAGCATTTTAATTTCTAAGAGAAGTGTTTCTTCTAAAATAGTTATTTTTAAGAATAAAAATAGAATTATGAGTTTTTAAACTGCCAAGTTTCCTTTTTCCCTTTTTTGACAAGTAATTGAATATTATATCGATATATGTATATATATAAAAATACCAAAATTATCTTAGGAAATAAATCATATTATGGTACATGGACTTCAAAATATTTAAAAACTATTTGACTTATATATTAACCTTGAATGAAAGTGTCAGATAATGATAAGAAAATTGTAAAATAAACCCAGTATTCAATTCCTAAAATGTCACTTAATCTATTGATCTAAAATTGTATGCCATATAATTAATTACATATGGGAAATTGTGTTCTTTCTTTAATTTTAAATTGTGTTTCTTTACAAAAAATAAGACTGAGAATTTATTGGTAAAGTGGAAATCCTTGACACATTAGTCATGAGAGGAACTAATTCTTGCTTTACCATTGAAAATATATAAGTATTTCCATTTCTGTAGTTACAACTATTATAGATGGGGAGGTGATAGTTTGATTTGCAGTATATTTTAGATTAATTTAGAGTTCTAGAGTCAAAGCTAGTATTTTTAGGGTTGTCTCACTGATGACGGGGTTTGTATTAGAAAACATTCATTGGCCACATGTTAGATATAAAAGCATTATGATAGACTCCAGGGCTAAAAAAGAAATCAACAATGGTAGATTCTTCTCAACAAGTATCAGGATTTGATGTTGATTTATTTGTGGTCAAAGAGATCACATGGTTTCAGAATCATTATTATTTCAATCAATTCATACCCATTCTGAATCGTATTGGTTGGCATCACTGAACTGCACTGAAATAGGTTGGCTGATTCACCAGCTTTCTCTACGGTGGTTTTTCCTGCAGACCATGGCTCACTATGGCTACTGACTGCAAAGTAGCTCTGTTTTCCCAGAATATCTGGACTCTTCTCTCTGAATGTTCAGGTGTATCAGTATACTATGATTGTGTTGAACGTCTTTTCATATCTTATTTGGTGTAACCAACAGCCTTCGGGGTTTATTGAGACAAGCGCTTACATGGTTTTTACACACTCTTTTGAACATGTTAGAAACATTGACTGAATTCTTTTAAAGTAGAATACTTCACCTATTTCAAATATCCCAAAGGGAATCCACTTCGCAAAGCAGGCAGTTTTGTTTGTCTTGGGAATATAACCGACCAACTCCTGTTATCTTCACCGGGAATTGCTATTTAAGGCAGATTTTGGGTTCCTTCGGAAATCTTAAGAATTTAGTGAGCATTTGTTCAGACTACGTTGGGGAAGAGACTTTTTCTCTTACATTTTTTTTTTCTTACGCAGTGATTTTAAACAATTACTGTTTTCAAAAATCAGTTTGATGCATCATAACCAAATAGCAGGAAGGCACTGCAGATCAACTGAGCTGCTTTCTGACTAACGTTGCAGGGATTGCGAAGCAGCAGATAGACAGCTCTATCACAGATCCAGATCAACAGAACAGCGGCCCGTCCCCGAGCAGACCCCCGCCCGCTCCAGATCCACTGAGCGTCCCGACACAAACCTCATGAGGTCGATGCCTTCATTAATGACCGGAAGATCTGCCCCTCCTTCACCTGCCTTATCGAGGTGAAAGATAAATCCATGAGACTAACTCCCCTTTTGCCCCCACCAGCACACCATGTTATCTTCCCCAGCGGCTAACTGGTCTCTCCTGTCATCCCTGGCTGATCACTAATAACAGTCAGTACTAACCTTCTCAGTGTAAGCACACTACTTATATTCGGCGGATATAATAGTGTGTGGCAAACCATTGTAAACTGTTGAACTGTCCTGACTGCATTTGTTTTGTGATTTCTCATCTACCAGTGGTCCTGGGTAAGCCCCCACCTGACACACCTCATGACTACCATGTTCTCCTGCACAGTGAGAACTTGTTTGTCTTCATTGGACATCGCTGTTGGGGATAGTCTTCATAGTGACAAAAGTAGATTTTTTTAGTTTCTTTCTATCAACGCTACTATCACGTATTAACCACTACCTTCCTTAGCTGAATGTTGAGTTGTTCAGGATTTTATTTGTAGTTTCATCAGATGTTTTCTAATGAAGTGTTATCTGTGATAAGCCTGAGTCGAAAGCTCTTTGGACCAGGGGAGAGAGGTTAGAGCGAAGAGTTTGAAATATGGTAGAAAGAAATGAAAGCCATTATCTTTTTTTTTCTTCTTCTTCTTCTTTTTCTTTTTGAGCTGCAGAATTCTCCTCTTACTTTCGTATGGGTAGCATTTAATAACGCCAAGGCTTTTACTGTAGGGTTCTCTGTGCATGTATCCGTGTACGTACGCATATTACACAAAAGTTTAAATCTTTGGCTGTTGAGATAATCATTCAGATATCCACATCGTGTCTTACTTTCCTAACCTTTTAATCAGCAGCTAAAACCTCTTTTAAAGTTGCATTTATCCAGCTATCATGTGAAGCAAATGTACTAAGAGTAATTGACCCGTTATATTGAAAGTGAATATTAATGTGTATCTCGTAGGTCCCATCCTCGGACGGGGTCTGTCCAGACCAGCCCATCCAGCACTCCGGTGGCGGGTCGAAGGGGCCGGCAGCTGCCACAGCTTCCACCAAAGGGGACACTGGAGAGAAGTAAGTTTTCGTTCTCATTGTGTCATTCTGGAAATGCACATGGAGGCTAAGGTGAAGCAAGATGCTTTTTTTTGTTCTACCTTCCTTCGTTTTCTTCTTTTGTGAACGGAATGCCTCAGCTGCATTTGCTAGTTGACTATTATATATTTTCCATTTAAAATGTGTAATATTTGCAGATCAAATAACCTACTACTATTGCTCTTGCACATTTTGCAAATTTGAGTGAATGCGTTTTAAGTAAATGGAATGCTCTTGTTTAACAAGCAGTTGGATGATAGATCTTTGCTGCAACTAAGTTTTATGTAATTGTTGACAGTTACATAAAGTTTATTAGTAACTAGCCAAATCAATTTTCACATACTGCGAAGGACTGGTTAGCTGATGCACAGCAATGGTGATCCTTCTCAAAACTGGAGTGCCAGAAAAAGGTAATCATGAATATGCAGAGAAAGATGCATGTTGTACTGATATTTTTAATACGTATTTTTTAATACTTGCAAATTTTTGCCTAAGAAGCATTATTTGCTCTCACACAGATAAACATACCCCCCTCCCCCCCCAAAAAAAATAATAATAATCTATAAATTCTTGGTTAAAGGACCTCTAAAAGCATGGGAAGACAGAACATAATAATTTTTATTGTTATTTTTTAAGTGGTCCCCTTTATATGGTAACTGGATACACTGTACAAAAAGAAAAAAACACACACAAATATTTAAGTCACCATTTAATTTTCTTTAATTGATGATACATTCTGTACCTTTGGAAATTTCTGTTGTTTTTAACCCCTGTGCTTTGGTTCCCTTCTTTGTTTTGTTTTTTTTATTTTATTTTGTTTTTCCTAGACAATGGAGTCAAGGAGATAGACCCTTGTGAAGGTCTGTACATAAAGGAGGGTTTGTTTTGTGCTGACAGCCTTTTTGGGGGGCTTTGTAAGCAAAAAATAAACCCAACTGCAATTGATGTCCTCCCGTGGTATAGACTTTTATATAAAATTATTTGGTTACGTGAGTTCTGTAAAGATATTGACGTTTTACGTAGAAATGATGAACAGGAGTTAAATTTTTTGATCCAGTCAAGTAAGACTGCAAAGAGTTTAACTTCTCTTAAATGGCAAAATAGAATTTCCTCTTTGTACAAAATTCAATTTGCCTTTTAAGCAGAATTCTGTTTTGTGCAAGACTTTCGCCAGAGGTATCAATTGCAGTCTGTGTTTATGTCCTGGAGGGTGTACACCTAGTCTAGTCGTAGTTACCATCCTGCATTTCACATTTTGTATTAATGGTGAGCTTTGATGTCTAAATTTGGCTTTCTAGATGAGGACTTTGTTGAATTAGGTAGTGATTGTGGTTTGCATTTCTTCCACCATTTCTCATGTTGTGGCGAGACTGCTTACAGTATAGCAGAGTTCACTATCTGCAGGTTTATTGTCACTGTACATTATGACTCAGGAGAACATACTGAGTCATGATATATGACGTATCATGCATTTAACGAGGACAAGAAAACATTTCTCTGCTAATTATACAATTCTGAAAATGACTTTGTAACTTTAAATAATGAATGGTTTCATTTACTGAATCATCTCCAGCACATAGAATAATGCCTGGCACATGGTAGTCCCTCAATCAATAATTGTTGAAAGAATGCATGAACTATTTATATAAAAACTGAACGACTTTCTGAACAACTACTTCAAATAGCGTATAATGCACCACTGCAATATTCTTGTTATTCTCTCCATATTTTTATTCAGATTCATAGTCCATAACCTATTTGTACAAATTCTCAACTGCATTGCATGTGGGCAGCAATACTTTCTTTGCCCTATACAACTTGGTCTTGTAAGTTGTAGTTGGATGACATATCAACTTTCATTTTGTGGTTATTTGTGTTTGCTTTGTGCCATAATTTTTAACAACTCAATGCTTTTGTGACTAATGTTCTGTTATGCAGCCTGATAAAAGATTTCAGCATTTTCTCTGCTTCTTAAGAATGGGGTATATTGTTTTAAAAGTACTTTTTGTAAGGGAAGTTCTATAATATGTATAGAATTTTTGTCATCCCAAGATAGAATCTCGATGCTATTTGATGACATATGAAGCCAGAAATATAGTTTATGTGACATTTTTTTTTGTTTTGGTAAATTTAATTTTAATATATTTTATAGTAATCAAATATTAGAATATGAATGGCTACATTCTTTTAAATAATAAATACAGTATACCCGAAAACTGACATGGAGCTAATATGGCAAATCAGGGATGAGGAAGTTAAAAAAAAAATTTTTTTTTAATTTATTGATTGATTTTAGAGAGAGAAGAAGGAAAGGAAAGGAAAGGAAAGGAAGAAAGGAAGAAAGGAGGGAAGGGGGGAGGAAGAAAGGAAGGAAGGAAGGAAGGAAGGAAGGAAGGAAGGAAGGAAGGAAGGAAGGAAGGAAGGAAGGAAGGAAGGAAGGAAGGAAAGGAAAGGAAAGGAAAGGAAAGGAAAGGAAAGGAAAGGAAACAAACAGGAAAGAGGGCTTTGCTGTTCCACTTACTATGGGTTCACTGGTTGATTCTGGTTTGTGCCCTTGCTGGGGATGGAACCCACAACCTTGCTGCACTGGAATGATGCTCTAACCAACTGAGCTACCTGGTCAGGGCAGAGGACATTTTTAATGGGTATCTCAACAAACATTCTATTTACTATCTGTTTTCTGCCCTGTAAATGTTTTTAAAACCATAGTTTTTCTTTAATGTCCCTGATTTGTGGCTTTTTCATTTTTATAAATAAGAGAGGAGAGCCAAAACCTCCCTTATTCTTTCCGGTTTGAAATAAAAGGGTTTTTGTTTGGTTTGTTTTGCTTAAACATATGAATGGTTTTAACAATGTTTTTATAAATGTTGATATAAAGACCAGTAGATATGTGATTGTGTGATTTTCTTTAGCTTTAAAAGAGATATAGATCTCTTTAGAAGTATTCAACTCCTACCAGAAATAAAAGGAACATAATGGAAAATAGAGTATAAATTGATAGTCTAAATCAGATTATGTTTGGATTTTCTCTAAAAAGTTGTAAGAAGTTATCATTTAATTGCATTCTTTTAGAATAAAAATAATGACATTTTTATTTTCTAATCCTGTTCAGCATCTACAGAATTCACAAGTCTTAATTTAATTCCTTTTTATTTTTGTTGTTATATTTAAGTCTATTAATGAAATTAATTTAAAACCATATATATGTTTTTCTTGATGGTGATATAGCATTAATCACCCCTTTGTCTGAGAACCAGAAAAAATAGGAACACTATAATGAAAGTACAGTGTAATAAACAACTGTGAGACATTACTAACATTTTTATTTTGCCCTAACTTTGATATAGTGGCATTTTGTAAAAATAAAAGTTTATAATCTCATATTTTTTTTCTCTAGAAGAAAAGTTATATAATTTTATTTTTATAAGAATGCTTCAAGACAGTAGACAAATTGTTGTTACACAGTAATCACCATTTCTAATATTCTAAGGGGCCACAATTTCTCTTTTACAAATCAAAGTGATTATAAAAGGGGACTGATGGTTTATTACTGGTATACTTATTTGCTTACCTAACATGTCAGAAATTTGTTTAAAATAACCTTAGTCTTTTTAATAATCACTAATACATTATGAATATTTTGAAATGTTTTGTTTTTGTTCTACGTAAGAGTAACAAATATACATTTCTGGTCTTTTTTTTTTTTTTTAAACTTTTACCAAAGCAGAAGTTAACGAAGAAACGGGGCCAGTGGAAGAGCAGGGGGCAGAGAAGCAGGGTGACGAGGTCGAGGCAGGTCTGTCTGTGTGTCTAATCGAAACAGCTGGCTGTTTTAGAAGTCTGACTTTGCAATTGTAAATTCATCAATGTTCAAGGAAGAACAGAGTGTTTCCCAGCACTGATTTCAAATAAATTACCTGATTTTAAATGGAGAGATAGTATATAAGCTATCTAGGTAATTTAACCGAATATTTAATTCATCCATTTAAACATTATCCTAATGTTGAATCAAACTAAAATTATAAGCAGAGCTTCTGACCATGGTTTGCATTTATCTTTTACTCAGCTTTACATTCAGTTCATCTGTTTATTTAAAAATGTCAATTGAGTACCTACATTTTACCTTGAGTTATGCTGAGTAAAGGTACATTGAAGTCTTTGCCTCCTCTTTGAAGAATTTTGATTTTGTGAAGGCAACGTACAAGTGAATGTAGAGTAGAATATAAACTCCAAATTTTAATTATTAAAGCTTTTAGAGACTACACATCCTTTCATCCATAAAATTTCTCCCCTAGAATAAGCAAAATTAACTGTAGTTCAACCTTTTCTTTGTCTCAGCTCAATATTATTTTAATATTTGTTGAACATTATAATTTTCTCCCATGAGAGTCCTCCTTCTCCATGGTTATGAAGACAACTTCATTTTGTTTTTTTAAGTCTCTATTATACTTACATATCATAATTTTTGCCACTTTGTCAGAAATTTTTGGAAATGATAAAACTTAAAATATCATATAATCAGTATTTTATATATTTCTTTTATCCAGTAATTACTACTTTGATTTGAATTGAATCCTAATCTTGCCTACACTGTTGTTTAAAAATATTTTTTTCTAATTTCTTTGAACAATGCAGAATATCTTTAGATCTAGTTTTTTTTTAATCATTTTTAACTCATCACCATTTGTTATGCATGAATAGTAGAGTGTATTTTTATGTTTCTTTCATTCTGTCCTTTAACACTGTGAAAGCAGTGTCATCATGTAAGTTGTGCATGCCACGTTTTTTCATGGCTACGTTTTCGAATGGTGTGTGTAGTGTAAGACAGAAGACTTCGTAAGCTGCCGTTGCTAATGAATGGTCACTATTTTTAATGTTGTACAGATGAGAATAATCAGCAGGGCACCTCTGATAATGAGAGCAAAGGCAAGTTTAGATGCATGGTGATGGAAATGTGCACTATCTCTGTGACGAATTTCTGC